GTTCGTGTTCTTTCCGCCTGCATGCGCATCCATTCGAGTTATTGCATTACTGGCTTAGCTTTGCGCTACCCCCTCGTGATTGCCGACCGTGTGGCCACGGGTCTACCCCCTGCACGTCCTTCCTTGCTCTCGGTCCGCTTGTATGATTCCCCCTTTCTGTCTTTATACACCATAACCAATATCCAATATCCATTCGATAGAGCATTTTACAGAACCAGCGCACCTTCTGTCCTGCCAACTGAATCCAGAATGTTTCGCGGGGATCAAACAGGATTAACGCTAGCATTGTTGCTCGCGTGTTATCATACACCGCTATAGGATCAGGTTTTCAATTGTATTTTAATCGTAAAATGAACAGTCTATGAGTGATTTTTATTTCGTTTTTTTTTTGTTTTTGCATTGTATCGATTTCTCACAATCAATGTATAATTACAAGAATAACATGTCTTTAAAACTTTTTTATTTTTATTTTTTGTAGGTGAACTGGGGGAAAGTCAGAACTGTAGTAAATTAATGTAGGTTTTTATCTAAAATTGTTTTTACTATAATATAGTTTTAAGTGAATGTAAGTTTAATATTATTTAAATAACTTTTACACTCTGTTAATTTATCTAAAACTGTAGCGCTGCGCGTGATCTAGACTCCAAAAAAATACATTTAAATATCATGCTCCGGATGTTGAATGAGTAATTTAGATTTTATTACGTCATTCGAATTGTTTAGTGATGACGATTATCACTGTTTATATAATATTAATATTATCGTTTTATTTTTCAAGGTAAATGATTAATATACCTTGTGAATACTTGATGAATAAACAAGAGGTGGTAGATGACACCTTGATAGAAAAATGATGAAGTTTCGTTGATTGATCAAGTTACTCCAAGTGAGATTGAACACGTCTTCTCTACATTACTATCATCTTTCTGTATGGCTCAAAATTATTCACCTAGACTCTTTATAGAATTAATTAGTTTTAAAGTGAGAGGCGAATGAAAAGAGATTGGTATGAACTGTTATCTGGAACGTGTCGACATGAGGTGGTCGACGAGCTGATTGAAACCAGATCGTATAGTTGAAGCTGAAAGAAACCTCAAGTATGAATAACTGACTCGTATTATTCACGCAGATTTTATTTTATTTTAAAACTATACTCAGGTTTAATATAAGAATTTTTATTGGTCATAATTTTTTTTTAGGACAAGCTTTACTTGGGATTCAACTTATAGTATAGTAGGGATTGGGCTTTCCTCCCAAACCCTAATAATAAATGTCACACTTTTCTCATGGGAGTCTTTGAGCAACACCAGCCCATATGATGATGACGAAGAGAAGAAGGCCCGCAAACGATTGAAATAGAAAGAGACTGCTTGTTCCCGTGAGAGCGGGTGTGCACACGTTTTATGTATACATTGTTTCGTCAAAGCAAAAAAAGAGAGAATAAGTATTGGAGAGCTCTTTTGGGTTATGTTGAAGCATCGAAAAATCTGGCCCGCATACGGGGTCCATACGTGTGTATCATGAACGAAAAAGCACATGTATATGAGTTTAAAAAAATTAGAAAGCGTAGAGGTGCATACAAACCTTGGGCTGTTGCCCATATGGTGACCATAGCCTGTAGGCATACATTCATGTTTCATACTTTATGTGTATGTATATATACATATATAGGTAAGGCACGTTTCCCCATACACAATTTACTCTCCTGTCTCTCCCCATTACTTTTTGTCTTTTTACCTCTTCAATCGCCCTCTCGAATCGTCCAATCTGTCGACCCCCTGTATAAATTTCAATCGATTTACCTGAAAATGTTATTCAGCAATATGAATACATATTCCTTTATATTTATTCATCATTACTTCAACTAAAAATTTTGCCTATTTTCTACGGATCAATGATTTTTGTTTCGCCTATTCTGATTAACTTGAGATAGTATCTATTGTTGTTATTATTATAATTTTAAAATCTTCATCTAATATTATTATTGTACGAATATGTAAAAATAATACTGATATCTGTGAAAAAATTTAATATTAAATACTATTATAACAGTATTATTGTATATAAACTTTCTTCATGTAGTGTATGTTTTATAATTTTAGTTATTATCTTTTTGTTTTATAATTTTTTCTTTCTTCAAACATAGCAATGGAAAAAGAAAATTGTTTGTAATGAATCCATCTACGTTTTTTGAATCATATCTTTTTGTATAAAATTTGAGATCCAACATAAACAAAAAATATAACATATATTACGCCCAGTAAAGATAAATTTTTATGTTGTTATTTTTAAAAACAAAATTTTTCAAGAATTTAAATAAAACTAATATTTCAATGACCACCAAATGATTTAAAATTAAATAATAAAATAAACATTAATGCCAACATTATAAAAAGTACAAAAAAAGTTTGATTTTTTCAACACTTATTGATGTTAATCTTCACTACATTCATTTGCTTAAATAGTTGCAGTAACCCAAACTAATAATTAGTCATTGTGTTACCGAAAATAACTTGTTGTTTTATTTTTTCAGAGAGAAGAGGAATAGAAAGGAAATGACCATTTATAGCCAACAATCTCGAGGTAATAAGACTTTAACAGCTACCGTAGATTTATTTGGAAGATTTTCATGAGCTTGGTATGGTACTAGTACTTGAAGGTCAGACAAACAAATATTTACGGTTTGTCAATTATATGTTCTATATATAAAGCTTCAATGATAGCCAAGCTCTATTACCAACGGTTTGTCATTTGATGTATAATATCTTTTGTATATATACTATCGCATTTTATCCCGGCAGTTCAATCTATCCTTCCAACTTTTGTCTACTGTATCAAATTTCAACGTCAAAATTTCAGTCATACTTATGAAGAACGGATGCACATAAGAGGTAAAGCTTTTTAAGTGGGTTACTATACAATGTTGTCGTTTTAATACTTGATATAAAATTCTCTCTTAACTTTTAACGAAGAGATTCATTGTTTCAAGAGGATTAAAATTTTTTGTTGTCGAGGGTACCACATGAAGCGGTTGAAAATTTTTGGAAGACGCTATTGCAACGATAAGCTGACTTTATTACCCATGTTGGCAGACATAAGAGGAGAGAATGAAGGTATAATGTATCTGAAAGAGAAGATGAAGAATAAAAAAAATACAAGACCTCCTCTGGTTGTTAGAGCTTAAAGCAAAAAAATGTATATACATAAACTAAGTTAACGTTGGTGCGTGTAAGTTTTTCGTGATGAATATTCTTGCGTTATAGGTGCTGAAACACGGATCTTTGGAGAAAGAAAAAACAAGAAAGACTTGAAGTTAAGGAACGATGTTGGAAAAACAGGGGTTGATGAATAAGAGAAGTGAGACGTACGGAGAACACAAGTGGCGCACACATGGCGCACAGTTGTTCAAGAGGTCAGGTTTTTGTCCACGAGATTGAGTTTTACGGATCTGTCAAGAAATTGTAGAGGTATAAAAGCTCCCAAGTATGTAAAGTATGTATTTATTAACCATAAAGAGATACAGTATTTTCTGTGTTTAAATCCACTCTATTTGTGTCAACATTACACATTTCATTTTCTCATATAATAAATTTTAAATTAAGGAGGTAAAGAGTTGGTGATAGATCTCGAAAGTTTAAGATAGTATACAGCAGTTGCCTTAAAAATTATCAATGCGGACGCATTAGCAAAAAGATGTAGAGATTGGAATGGAAAACAAATTGGCAGATCACACACAGTCGATGGAGAAAGAGAATTACACCGGTGTGCGTCCAGTCGAACGAGATAAAGTAACACAGTTGCGAATCACGCCGTGGCGGCGCCTAATGGGCGGCAACAAACCAGGAGGGAGACGCTATCGTCGGGGAAACCATATCCGAGAGAAGAGAGATTTTGTTGCATACTCCCACCTTACATCAGCCCCGCCACCAAAAATTATACCATTCGGAGATCTTCGGAAAACTTCGAGATGCTTTCGCGTCATCTTCTGAATCCGAAACTGATGATTATCCAGGGACGGCTTTTCTAGGTGAAAGCATTTCTTATTAAACCTATTTTAACATTTCTTATTTTTATTAAATAATCTTCAAGGTTATCAATATGATTTTTAAAAAATTCTTCTTATCGAATATTTTTTTTGTTTTTTCCTTCAAATTTAAATATTCAAGTAAATAAATGAATAATATAATTTACTATATTATTTAATGAGAAAGTTCATTTAAAATTGTAACTTTAACATTTTGTGTAATCAATCAATTTTTTTTTTTTAAGTAAAAAAAAAGCATCAGTAGTGGAGAAATAGGCAAGAACTGAAAAGAGAAACTGTTAAGAATGAAATCAGAAAATGAGAAATTTAATCTATCTAGTATCAAGGATAATTGATGATAAAGACTTTGACGATTGATGCGCGTAATAAAACGCGATAAAGTTCGATTAGAGTGTGAGAATCTAATTTTATTATTATTTTACATATACATTTAATGTTAAAAAAAAAGTTTTATTTTTCAAGGAAACGGTGATTTTGTAGAAAATAAAATTTTTATATTTATGGGATTATAATTTAGAACTAGTACCGATTTTTATATTGGTAATTTGTTTACCTGGTGAATTTGATCCATTGGTAGACTACAATATCAACAATATATATGTACATTGTTACCTCAGTATTGTTTCAAGACATACATCGTTTCATTCAGTAATTCGTCGGCAGCTGCATACTAATAATAGTATCCGACGCCGACGCTCTTTTTCCTCGTTGCCTGTTGGCACGACGAATGGTCACATTGATTTGTGCAACCTCTTCCAAGTTTTTGAAACCTCATGTGAGCAAGGATTGTTTTTTCGAGTGAAATAAGATCAAGAGTGAATTTATGACATTATGTCATAACCGTAGTTTTTAATATCTTTTTCACGTTATTTACTAGAACTCCGAGTTTCTTAGAACTGAAAGAGATTGAATTAAGAAAAATTTAATCCAAGTTTTTGTTTGATTTATAAGATTGAGAAGTTGTCAATTAAAACAATGAGTTCTAAAATACGTGTGAGGCGATCACGCGTCTCTCGTCAAGATATATATGTAATATAACTTTACATCGTTATTCGCGGTGCTTTGATCAATTATGGACATACCAAGTGATCTGAAGCGATATTAACTTTATGCATCACGAGTTCTTTCTCATCACCATAATCATCATAATAGTTGTTAACTTTGTCATATAGTGCATAAGCACTTCACCGTTACGGTAAACAAAAGAATAAACTGTAGATTGTGGGTGAATAAAATCTTGGAACGCGGTCGAGTTAATAAGAGCAACGAGAGTCAAAAGAAAGCACACATCCCAGAGTGTATAGAGAGATAAAAGCAGCTTGTAACCGGGCTATTATCATCAACGTTGAACGAAGAAACAAAGATACAGATGTTTCCGGTAACAAATGCCGTCGCGATATGACTCGGAGCCTATCAATGTATGATGTCAATGTATCTCATTAAATACGACTTATCACGTAAATGACCAAGTTTAAGAACAAAAAAAATATAAAGATTGATAGTTGATGTACTGGGAGTTTATTAAACAAAAAATAAAGGGCTTATTCATCATGATTGAAGGAGTATCATCTTACGACGTGAAAAATTTCTCGGGGCACATCTTACAGCATCCACAGCCCTGGATCCTGATTGCGCTAGTCGCGGGGCGCAGGTAGGGGACGTGACAAAGATGTGTAGTGGACGAGGCTGATGGCGAAGAGGGGACCAAGTGGTCTGTGGCGGGGAAAGCTAGCGAGTAGGACAGAGAGTAACATCTACCAATTCGTTGGTCCACAGTAACATGAAAAGGAAGAGAAATGGGTCGTTTGAATTGAAACAAGCAAGAAAGAGTATACAAGTAGTGGGGATACGGTTGCTGTTGACGCTTGAGAGAGAGAAAAAAGCTTAGAGTCAACGGGGGCGGTGGCTGTACCGTCATACGGCCGCCATCACCATCCACATCCCGAATCCTATAGTACACAATACGCAGTTCTCCCAATCTCCATTGCCTTTGCCTTTGCCATGTGTGTTAGTTAGAACTTCGCGGTACCCGCCGGTGCGCTTCTCTCTTCTATACTTACTCTTCTAGATGGTTTAGTATACCGACATTCTCCGCTTTGCCCGCGCCTCTGCCATGCCCTAGCACCGGAGGCTCACCGCGTCGTACTATCTTTCTCTCTCTCTCCTCTCTTCTTTACGTCCTCTATTCCCTTCCTGTGTTATACTTTGTGTTTTAACAACCCCAAGAATAACGACATACCCTCGTGCTCTCGTGAACGTGTTAAAGAACAGTGAAAGGTGAATTAAGTGATTAATTCCATTAACTACAGCCGACCAAAAGCTCATCATAAGCTGAAGAGGACAAACAAGAATAAGTGTGCACATTCTGCGAATTATTATTTTGCAATGTGTCTCGCGGTTGTTTGCAACAGACATCGCGGAGCTCGGAGATGGAACATATTAATATTCGCGCTGTGCGGTGAGAAATAATTACTTTCAACGGCCAACGACCGGACACTGCATGTGTGTGTGTATTGATACAACGTGTACAAGTGTTGTGTTATTTTTTATTTTATGTTGTTATAATTGTTTATTATTATTGAAGAACATTGTGATTGAAGTAATAAGACCCGCCCTAAGATTATCCCATCGTCTTCGAGGTATCGACTCTTTTCAGACCATCACCACACACTCTACGCACTCGCCATTCTCTTGTACGCGGCCCCACCTTCTGCCTTATCGACGAGATACGTGTCTGCTTTTATAGCTCTGATATGTATATACATATATTATATATGTATACATGTGAAATATTTGAAATTTAGAGCTTGACTACTTTGCTGAACCAACGAGACAAACATTTGATGTTGTTTCCCCGCGTCCGTCTGCTGCCGACCGCTAGGCTAGTGGTCACAATTTCCGTCGGCGCTACGTCATCATCAACGTCGTCGGAGTCGTCGCAAAACATCCAAGTAGACAAGCTAAATAAAACGTTACGACGCCGACTCCACGCGGTTCGTGGAAATCAAGGACATAGTCGAAAACATCATCAATATCATCATCCAAGTGTTGGATCACCATCACGTTGGTATTCGAAATTGTTACTCGCATAATGTCCTAGGAATACAACTTAATACACGAGGACATCTTCAAGGACTCACGTCCACGTTCACGACTGCTACAAGTTAATATGAGCATGACTCTTGTGCGAAACACATTTAAAGGTAATTTTTTTCTTTTCTTTTCATTTTTTATTCTTTTCATTTTGTATTTATTTTTTCGCACGTAAATAAATCATTTCATAATATTTTCCATTCCAAAGAAATACCGTTGACCAGAAAAATAATGTGTCTTTTATATGATAATATCATTATTATGACAATGACTTGATTATTTTATACTCTAATTTATATAATAATAATTATTCGAAGGAAGAAACATACAAGGAAAAAAATAATGAAAGAAAATAAAATGTTTTATCCTTAATAAATTGTTGCAATTACAATAATAAAGATTGACAAATAATCTATGAATTTCATTAATATTTCCAAAATATTTCATCAATGTATTACATTTGCAGAATAATTTATCGAAAGATAAAGGTTTTTTTATCTAAGTCAAATCATAAAAAATATTATACTGAATAAATATTTCCACCTTCGTTGTTAAAAGATTGACCAAGAATATACGTAATTCAAGATAGACTAATGAGAGTAGCAAGCAAAGGTCGACAGAGGCACGGAGGGTCAGATAAGAAGAAGCAAGAAGAGCTTTATTGCTTTTCGTTGACTCTAACAATAATCAACGTGGCATTCATAAGAGCCACGTACTTAAATAAAGTTATAGATTTCTCCTCTCAACACAATTAACGTTGTTTCCTCAATACGATGGTAAACGGTGCAGATAAAAAGCACATTTATTTATTTTAGCCTCGATTTGTCATCACGATTTAAATATTATTTAATTTACTAAAGACAATTGTATCAATCTATTTTCTTTCACTTCTCATTTCTTTGTTCTTATGAATATAACTGCAATGATGCGTAAGAGTTCAAAGTTTGTTACGTCTACCTGCTAGTCAATCTTCTTATGGAAAGATGAATAAGTGAATTCTTTCATTAACTCTGATTCAACGTTTTATCAATTATTTTTCGATCACTCTCAATGGATAAATTTATCCATTGAAATCAATTTTAAGATTGAGTACTTAAAAATAAAAATAAAAAAATAAACAATTTATCTGCAAGTGTAATTATAAAACATTTAAAATTTAACCTAATGTCCGAGTTGATTTAGGAAAGAGAGAAGGGATATCACATTTCACGACAAATAAATGTGGAAGTTTTAGTAGCTTATTAGACCTAACTTGCTGAAATTTGAAGCTAATATTTTGTACGCACTATATCAACGATTGGTGATTGTACTTTGTAGCAATTTTTTTAACCTCTGTTATTGTTTTTATTTTTTCATTAAGTTCTACCGCATATTTTTTTCTTTATTTCATACTGAACGTATATTTTTATTTGTTTGATATTTTCTCGGTATGATTTTGTTAAATGTTGATAACTATTTATCATATCAGTATGTAGTTTTTAGAGGATGTTTTATTCAATTTACATATCTAAAAGACAAAAAAACATAATTTGTAGAACTTTACATGGAATTAAGATTAAAATCTCACGGGGTACATTCCTGCGGTCTGATTTTCCTCGAAGTCCGGTGATAAATAAATCGTTCTAGCACGTGCTATCTGAGCTGCGAGGAAATAGAGCAAAAGAGAAATGCAAAAATAAAAGAACGTTGTTTTTTGATGAAATTTATAAGGGATAATTACTGATATGTAAAGTATTACTTAAAAATAATAAATGAAAAAAAAAGGATATTTAATTTGAATTTGAAAATATTGTCATTAGCGAAAAAACTTGAAAAAAAAAATATAAAAAATAGCAATTGAAATATTATTCCAAATATCAATCACACTCTGACGTCAATGAATATGATGGCTAAGCTCGTTAATTTATAATATTTACAGTAGCTTATCACAAGTTATTAGTCGATGTTGACTATGTAATATACTGACATGTTTCTCAAAGTTTACTCTTCTTAACACGTCGATGTTTGTTTTTCATATATTTCCATTTTATTTAAAGCATTTTGATATTGAAAGCAATTATGTAATTCAAATTAGCTTCAATTGATATTATTTTTTCAATTCGCTCTATAAGCTTAATTATTTATCACACACTTTGTAGAATTGAGTGCGTCAGAGATGAAAAAAAAAAGATATTACAGAACCATTGAATCGTATCGAGAATCAAGTATCCCATACAAGTATTCTATCCCGGTGTTGAAGAAGATTGTGATACAAGTGATCTCGCGTTTTAATGGCCGTCGCGCCCCCGCGTCGCGCCAAGGCTCAATGACCTCGACAGAACGTTCAAATCGCCTGTGGTTTGCGCACTTTAACGATGCTCCTATGACGTCATTAGTCTCCGTATTCTCTGTGTGTTCTGGTCATCGCCATCTTCTTGTCCATTCGGTCCAATAAATACTTGAGCTCTTAACCGATCGGCACGTGTCTTTCTATTTCGAATGATTATTTTCTTTGTTTTATTTATCTTGTGACTCGTCTTCGTATCAATTTCATTATCCTTAATCTTAATCTTGAAATCTTGGCATGAAAACAAATGTCTATGAATGTTGGTGATTCAGGGGAAGTTTGTATTCTAGAAAATCAACCCTGAACAAAGAGCTTATGATTCATAACACTTCTCTAGACTTTTTCTTAAGACTAAGAGCCTTTTAGTTAATTGTTTTCCCTTTCACGAATTGTCTTTTACAATTATGATGTGACTTGAAATGAAAAACACGGATCAAAAGGTGATGGCTTTGACCTGTTTGATTATCAACGTTTACCAAACGTTACTTTGACCAAAGTACAAATTATGTATAACAGTAACTATCCAAACTAGTTGTCAATTAATTGAATTTCTTTACTGAATTCATTTTATTTAATTGAGATAATTCGTGAAATAACGTTTAATTATACAATGTGTCTTTTTATAAAAATTTATTATAACTTTTTAATTTATTATCAAATTCATTAATTACAAAAACCTAATGAGCATTGATAAATTAATTTTTTTTTGTCAATTCGTTCATTAATTACTACATAACTATATCAATATAAAAATGTATTCTTTAATCGCAGTTGATGAAGCGAAAAACTTGTCCAATCTGGTTTAAATCACTAATTGGCAGCTTACATGATACATGTACAAAGAAGTGAGTATCTTTGTTGAAATATTTTACTGAAAAAAAAAAAAATTCAAAATACTCTTTTTTATCATTTTTATAAAATCATACTTGTTTGACTTTCACCAAAAACATTCAACGTATCGAAAATTTTTAATTGTGATAAAAACATTTGAGATAAACTATTTTTTAAATTGAAGTTTACACAAAGACAACATCTACTTTTGATGTCTAATTTGTTTTTATTTCTTATTAAGCTCTAAAAAATTTCAACTATTTTTTCACTCTCTAAACTAGAGTCTAAAGTAAGTATTAGAGTTTAGTATAAACAATAAAAATAAATACATTTTAATTCTAGTTGTATAAATGGTAATTTATATATATTTTACTTGATGTAAAGTTAATCTAAAATCAATATATAATGGTGTCTCTGTGAATATAATAACTTTTTTCTATGTTGATAAATGAATTGGAGGATTTTGGAGTAATAAATGTTTTCCACAAGATTAATTAAAATTTAAGAAATACGTGTGATCGACTAGGATTGTTCGATTAAGTCTGGACAAATGTCTACCCCTAGCGATTTTCCTGTCCGTTAATCACTCAGCTCTAAAGCGTCATTTAAATCCCCCACGGTTGACAATACAGCCTCTCTCCCGATGAAAAAGTTATCCGACCAGGGAGAAAAGCACGAGACGTCATGTATATTATATAGTAAAAGGATGGGGGCATGTAGAGGTCGACGTAAGATCCCTTGATGCCATGTGCCACTTCCGAGCAGAGTCACCCTGTGCGCGTCGACCTGGCGCGTGCCACACGACTGACAATACACAGAGATTCGGTCCAAAGGTATAGGGATACGAGATAGACGAATGACAACGGCCCTGAAAATATCACGAGTCACCCCTCGATCGTAGTGATTTTATAGCTTGAGAGCATCAGTCAGAAGAGTGACACTAGTCAGTGATGATGACGGGAACGGGTGGTGAACTAGGGATTATCAATTTTTGTCACGGTGGGGGATAAATTTCGAGATTAGCCACAGGCCTTTTTGTTTCTTTGCCAGTGCTTTTATTTCCAAGGTAGGCAGTTATGGACTTTTTCATGTGTTTGAATCAAATGTTATCCTCATTTGTTTGCACAAGTACTTTATTCTTCATTTACATAAAATTTATATTGTTTTATATGAGTTTGGCTTACATTTATGCTAAATCTTGTTCAATTTATTTTTCACTGTATCAAAATTAAACCATTGTTTATACTTAACTGAGTAAACAGATCAATAGTTAAACGAATGGCTGAATTTCCGAAATAATAGTATAATTGTTTAGTTTCTGATTAAAATACATGTCAATGAAACTGAAATATTGTAATGCTAATTAATTTTAAATTCAAAATACATACAAATCCTATTTTTTTATCGATTTACTAATCTATTCATTATTTGAATAATATCATTTTATTATATTTATAAACTATAATAAAATTTTTTTCTAATTATTTAACAATTATTGATTAAGTTTATAATAAATTATAAATTATTATGAAACAATATGATGATATTTAATATTATATAAATTGTTTTATCAATATAGTTTAAGTGTAAAGGCTTCACATAATTCATAGTTCTCATTCTCACCTGGATGAACATTTGTACTATGCAACAGTAAAAAAAAATGATTCAGTTACTATATTAAATAGCTTGTATCCTAGTGATTTTTTTGCAGTTCTAATGCATAGCAAAGTCTCGATTATACGCAAAAATATTTAAATCTTCACATAGAAATATCAAAAATTATAAAATATTATTATCTTCAATATTTTAAATGATTTACTATAGGGTAATGATACGACTCTACTTAGTAATACTATTGTACAGTCATAAATAAAAGACATGATATTTTTAAAATAAGGATCTTTCAGAAATATGATCAAAAATTAGAATAATTAATTACTAATAATTTTAACAATCCTTTTTTTCTGTTAAAATGTTGAAAATTTTGCATCAACCACTATTTATTTTATTAGTGAGAAAATTTTCAATCAAAAAATTTTCAATAAAAACGGGTAATTTTTAAGTGTAAACTAACATTATTTATCAATTTATTCATAACGATTATTGTTTGTACTGAATATCAATTATTACATGCATACGTATCTAGCATAGTTTTATATATTTATTATTTTATATTTTATTTTAGTTGTTAATAGTAATTAATATTTTATATTGAAAAAAGTTTTGGGTAAAAATAACTCAACATTCCTTAAAATTGATTCATTTCAAAGATTTGAAAAGTACTTCTTTCCTGTATCAATTCTGTCCGGAGAAAAACCAAAAATTATAATCTAGAACTGATTCTAACTAACTATACCATTAAAAATACCATGTTTTGTTCACAGATGTTTGAAGTATTTTAATATGTCCTTTTTTATCCTTTATTTTTACTTGGTGTTTTATTACTTTATATAGCGAGCTTTTTTAAAGTTATAGAAATTTTACAGCTTTGTTTTATTGCTCTTTTGGTTTGAATAAAGAATATTTCTATTGATAACATTTTCAAATCTCTCATCATATTATCATGTTAATAAATAGATTTTTTAAAATTTAATTTTTCATGTAAATATTTTCATAATTTCAAATTGTTGATCTATATCACAGTTACTTATTAAATATTTGCTTAAAAGTTACTGTTTTTTTTTTGTAGAAATGGGATAAATATCAATACAATATATTATATTACTAATGTATTATAAATTTTATATATATTTAACATTTACAGCAAATTTATATTATCATAATATGAATGAGGGAATTATTGAAAAGTAAATAGAATGCTTGTAGTTATATATTTATAAAATAAAATTAGAAAAGAAAATTATACAATAAGTGATAAAATTTAACAACAAATGAATTGATTTAGTTTCTTGATAGTTATAATAAGATAATAAAACAGTAATGAAAGATTTTGTTGTGTTTCATAGGGTGCAGTGGAGACGAATCCAGCGTGGAACTAGCAGAAGTTAGTAGCGGTGGGGCTAGTACTGAGGGCGGAGGTGGTGAGGGATCGGCTAAACAAGAAGAAAGGTGCCCACAGTGTGGCATTCTATGTCGGAACCTTCACGTTCTTCAACTCCACCTCGAAGACGCCCACAAAACCGCATTCGTCATTGATAAGCGCGATCTTAGTGCTCAATTTTCTCAAGTTGTAAGTATCTACAAGTCCTATTTTGTATGCTTACAATGTCATTTAATATTATTACTATTTTATTTCTTTTATTATTCTTTCTTGTAGTCCTGCAAAGTTTGCAGTAAGACATTTGCCAACGTCTATCGTCTACAAAGACATATGATTAGCCATGAAGAGAGCGCAGTGTTGCGCAAATTTAAATGCCCACACTGTGATAAGGCATTTAAATTTAAACATCATCTTAAGGTATTCACTTTAATATTATGAGAAATTTTAAATGGATACTAAAATAGATTGTTTTGTTAAAATCATTCCATTTTTGCACTTTATTCTATCTAACTTGAAAGTTAGAAGTAAATATTCTTGTAGCTTTTGGAATGCTATAATTAAAACCAAATATATTTTGTCGTCTAGTATCGTAAACACTATTTTTTGAGGTGGTCAAAAACATCCAAAGTTAGAACAAAAAAATCATTCAATAAAAATATACAGTAAAGGTTTTGTGTACCATACAAAAATTTCTATTTTTAGTTTAAAATTTCATTATATGGTAGTAAATTTGACGAATTTATTGTTGTTTTTTTGTTCAGGAACACCTCCGAATACACAGTGGAGAAAAGCCATTTCAATGTAATAACTGTGGCAAGCGATTCTCCCACTCGGGTTCATATTCGAGTCATATGACGTCAAAGAAGTGCCTCATAGTAAACCTGAAAAAATCAAGACAAAGCACAATAAGTAATATAGAACGAACAAATAAAAAGCCGCAGACTCAGCAAACGCAATCACTGTCGTCTCGTAGCCGAGAATCCGTTCTTCATGCGTCTAATAATAATACATTTTTGCCAATTTTACCTAAATTATCACCATCTGATTATCAAGATCTTCATCGTGACAGTGGCGGCATTTATGATATGCCAACTCTTTTACCTCCAATAGTTAACTTTAGTAGTTTATTTCTGCAATCATCACTCGGTAAAATTCTCACGCAATTACAAACAAAGAGACTGGACGAGGTGGCAGAACATTTTGAGTCACATCGTGAAGCAGTGAGTCCATCAACAGCAGATTCTGAAGAGACTGAAGGAACTGAAGGCAAGTACTCGCCGGTTCCAAGTGATCCTCAAGGTTTAGATGCTGTCAGACGAATTCTCGAGACAGTAAATACATCAGTGACCAAACAATTGCTTGAAGCTAATGTAAGGAAGTTGGCGTCTTCTCCAGAGACAATAAAACGCGAATGTGATGAAGATTATCAAGATCAAGACAGTGAAATGTCAGGAGAGACGACCAATTATCAAGACTGGCAAACTGGTGATCAATACGATAGTCAAAGTGAGGGTTTGGCTGCTAAACTCGAAGATGCAAGCCAGTCACAAACAAAAAAAAGAGGTGTCAAAAGAAAAGCTGAAGAAGGATTGCCTGAAAGTTCTATAGAAGCTGACTCTGATGATGATGAAGAAGTTAATAGGACACAGACGGAACCTGGACGAAGAGTTCGTGCACGTTCTTTAATTGATGATGAACAACTAGCTGTTCTTAGAGGTTACTATGCAATAAACCCACGTCCCAAAAAAGAAGAAATTGATATGATTGCAAATTATATTAATTTCCCTAAGAGAGTTGTTCAAGTTTGGTTTCAAAATTCTCGTGCCCGAGATCGAAGGGAATCTGGTAGAATTCCCGGTCTTGTACCATTAGCAAGTATTGGAAATCATCAAATGTCAATAGAACAGCCTTTAGATTTATCAAAAAAAGATGTTCTTACGAAAACTTCCGTCAAAGAAAATGATTATGAACCTAAAGATAAAAAAACACCCGTCGTTGCTTCCCAATCAGAACCAGATGATCTCGAAGAATCGCCGTTAGTTATTGATGAAGAGACACCTGATCATAGTGAAATAAAGAAAGATGTATCTTCCTCCAGTGACACTGTAATTAAAGTAAGTTATTATGAATTTCATTTTATAATTAATTTTTAAAATTATTATATAAAAAATTAATATTTGATTCAAAGAATTTGTCAGAGATTTCATGAATACATGTATTGTTTTTTTTAAATCGTAGACTCATTTGAAAACTCATGTAGAAATTGAAAATAATAGACCAGTGTCAGATGCTCCTCCTTCGACAGAGACCGAACAAGAGGGCGTGTATGTTTGCAATCAGTGCGATAAGACCTTTTCTAAACATAGTTCTCTTGCTAGACACAAATATGAACATTCCGGTGAGTAATTTGGACTTGAAAAATTTTCAATAAGTACTTCTAATATACTGTAATTCTTACATGATGATAAACTCATAAAAATAATCAAATTATAGGGCAAAGACCGTATAAATGTGCTGAATGTACACGAGCCTTCAAGCACAAGCATCACTTGACGGAACACAAGCGTCTTCATACTGGCGAAAAGCCATTCCAATGCTCCAAGTGCCTAAAGCGCTTCTCACACTCTGGGTCTTACAGTCAGCATATGAATCACCGGTACTCTTACTGCAAACCTTATAGAGAATAGGACAAGAGACTTCATTCCTTCAAGCGCTGTTTAAAGACGAAATTTGCTCGCACGCTCAGTCAAGTATGTATGAAATTTCCTTCACTCGTGACTTAACATTTAGGTCTCTTTGTGCCTCTTGGGTACACAAGCTACGAGACACACAGACAGGGAGAGAGAGAGTTTATTACTTTGGACAAGGTCCGAGTTAGGATGCAAACAAGATTGGGATGCAGGATATTACAAAACATCACATACAACGATTACAGTAACATAAAACAGGGCAGTTTTATAGATTTTCTCATTGATCGAGAGTTGTTTACTTGATCTTTAATCTATATTGTAACAAAAGAAAGAATGTTTTTTTTCAAAATGCCTCTGCAGTTTTTCTCGTATAACAAAGATAAATTTAAATAGAGGAAAAAGTTATTAACTAATTAGATTAATACACAAAATAAAAATGATGCCCAAGAATTCAAATGAACTCGTAAACGGTACCAAAAAGCATAATGCAATAATCTATTATATATATAATAATATAATAAACATAATATTTTATTATTTTTATTGAAAATAAAAAAAAAATATTATATATAACACGACAATAATAAGGAAACTAATTAATGTACAAAATTGTTAGCCGCGTTCACTAAAGTGTACAATTATTGTATGACGATTGACAAGAGACGTAATAACAAATTTGAGACAAAAGATGGTCAATCTTTAAATTAACAGATAAGATTATTAAAAAAATATATACAAATTATTACAAATACAAACTGATTTATTAAAAAAAAAGGTTCTCGCATGACATAAAAACCTTGCATATTGATATAAATATTTGCAAATATGCATGAAAGGGTCAAAATATTGACAAATGTTGAAAAAGAAACGAAATAAATAAGAGTATATAAATTATATCTATATACAAAATATATATTATATATAAAAAATAGCATTTAAGAGAGCGTTTGAATGCAAACAAATAATTATAAACTGTGAGGCTCATTATTTGTCCAGTAGGTTTTCGACTTTTAAAATTTAATTATTAAAAAATGAACATAAAAATTAATATCATAATAACGAATAAGTTAATAATTGAAAACATTAAAAAACGGAGCTTGAATACTTGTCCAATGCAATAATATTTTTTGCAAATTTTAAATTTAAATGATCTTCAAGAACACAAGTAGATAAAAATATGAAAAATAATTGCAATCGTTATTTAACTCACATTCCTATTTATAAAGGCCTTTTTTTTAAAATAAAACTCATAGATGGTTCATAAATATATAACAGCTTTGATCCCGGCATTTTCATCTGACAATGATATTCATAAAATCGAGCAATTTATACTAAAACAGCATCAGTATATAATTTAAAGAGAAACAGTCTCGCTTTAACGCTCGAAAAATTTTTATTATTATTAATTTTTCATGTTGATTAAACAGCTTTGTGGATCGGTGAATGATTGTGACAGAATTTTGAAAACCAATTTTTAAGTACTTACAAATCTTTGTTGGTTTAAAGTTTATTATAAAAATAATTTATATTTTTTCATGTAATATTTCATTTAATTGATTAATTGATTTGTATACATTCCGGATTATTTTTAGAATAGTAATTACATCATTCAATTTAATATTGTATACAAAAAAATATTAACAAATTGAGATTATGATTATTTTATTCATCATTTACCAATTATAACAATTCAGCATGTAACAAGGTAAAAAAAAAATTCACCGGTCTTCGTTGTCTGTTATTGAAGATCTAAGTATAATATAAAATGCTTCCAATACTGTACTATTACATTAAAATATTATAAATACGACAATTTATATGGTTCTATATTATATGGACGACTTGATAAAGAGTAATAAAAAATAATCGTCCATTTTGAAGCTCTATGAATGACGATAATAATAATAATAATAATAACAATAATAATAATAATAATAATAATAATAATAATAATAATAATAATAATAATAATAATAATAATAATAATAATAATAATTATTATTATTATAATAACAATTAATGATGATAATACTCGAAGATGTATTTTATAACAGTTTATTCGTCATTTTTTTAATTCACACAACACACAGCAAGTGATAAGTGATATTGTTATAAATAATATTAAAATATGTGTAATTAATTGCCAAGACTATAGCGTTTATTCGCTACACCAAAAAAGATTAAAAAAATTGAGAATAGTAATATTGATAATAATTCAAATAGTAACAGTAAGAATTATAAAATAATACTGAAGACAATTGTACTTCCTCATTACTATACAATGTGTAGAAGCTTCGGTTATCCGCGATAGGCATCGTGTTCATGTTTATGTAAACTTACATTTATAAAACAAAAATAAGCATTATGATGCTTATAATACTCATTTATGATAGTGTTAACTATTAAGAAATATATTTTTATATAATTATAATATAATGATTAATACTATACGATAAGAAAAGTAATCTTGGATCATTTTTCCAGTTACTAAAAAAGAACAAAATGCTAATGTTTCAATATTTATTAGTAAATTATAACTATTTATAATGTATGTTAATAACTCAATGCTCGACAAATTGCATTTTTTAGGATTTATTTTTTGTATTGAGAGAAAAAGATATCTGACGATTTGGAAATTGAGGATAAAATTAAATTTTACAAACACTTGAAATATTAAAATTAACTTTTTAATTCAATTATACATTTTGATTCGGCTGTTTGACAATGTAAGAAAGCAGTAAAAACATTAATCTAATTTTTGAAAAAACTTTTTTTCTCATTAAGTTATGCCATTCACGTTCCACCTGCATTTTTATCATATTTGTTACCTCTGATAATTTATTACAGATTTGCACTGTTATACAATGAATAAACAGTAAAAGAATAAATAAACAAACGAATTTATTATAAAGTCAAATACGGATGACAATAAAATCGAGTAGTAAAGCTCTGTCTTAAATACTTTCGTAATTGTCACAAGAAAACAATATGACGTATTAATAATTTAAAAAAAAATAATAAAAACAATTAATATTTACAACTTTAAATATGACTATGATGATAAAAAGTAACATTTTTATGATTGTTGAAGCAACGATTTAAACGCCATACGATGCCTTCCGTGAACGACCGAGCTTTTGTCTAGTTGCCAGATAATTAAAAAAAAAAAAAAACCAAACGAGTTTATTGAAATGTTGAGGGTAGTTCTTTCGATTTAATTAACCAAGTGCGAATATAAAATAAAAATAAATTTACCAAAGTCTCTGCAATAAAAAAAAATAAAGTCTTGTGATTAATTAAAAATAAAAATATTATAATAAATTTATTTTTAATATAATTTTTTCAGTAATACAATAATCAACTGCGCAATATTATGTGATTTATTTATAAAATAAGTAAATAAAAAAAATGTTGATCGAAATAGCTGCCTTCGCATTGATGTATTTTACAATAATACCAATGGTTATGCAATTTGAGCTTTCCATGACTTTATTGATAAGAATGGCAGGAAATATTACAAAATTTAAATAATTGATTAACAGAAAATAACTGATTTGTATATAAAAAAAAAAATACTCAACTACGACAGACAATAATATTCTGCTGTTTCATATTAGATAAAAGAATTAGTGTCTTAGATGATTAAAAGAAAGAAAACTAATAATATAAAGTAAACATTAAGAAGAAAGCATATAAAAATTTAATTTGATGTATATTATTTACGAGAATGGATGTGACAAGAGAATGAATTCAATTGTCAAAGATCAGCTCTGTGGGGTTTATAAATAATATTACTAACATTGTGAGATAAAAAATTACAATTAATTGTGTACTCAATGTACGTACTGTTAAAAATAGTAATTCCAAATTGAATAAATATTGAAAAGCGTTAAATCTTAAAAAATAATAATAAGACTTAGTGACATTGGTTTAAACGGTTACTCACAAAATGAGATTATAATTCGCCACCGTTTCTTATTAATGTAAATTAATTATAAATGATAATTTTTAATTATAGATAATAGTCAATGTTCCTTTTTTTTTAATGAAAAAGATAAACATTTATTTTTAACAAAAATAAGTCATACGTCCATTTAAGAACTCTCATGGTTTGTGAAAAATACATACTATACATAACAGAACTAAAACAATTATATAATTTTTTCTTATTTATCATTTGTTGTGCACACGGAATTGGTGGGTGCTGATGTCATTACTTTAAAAATTTTTTAAAAACTACAGCACAAATAAATAAATTTGAACAATTCAAATTGAGCGTGGAAAATAAAAGTAGAATAAAGGAAAAAAAATAATGATAAAATAAAAAAAATGATAAAAAATATTCTTAACGCAACAGTGAACTAATTAAATAATATTAATAATAATAATATTGATAATGGTGATGATAATGATGAGGAATATTATATTGTATTGTGAAAAAGTTCCATCCATAATAAATAAATGAAATATTATACAGTTAGGCCGACTATTCCGCCAGTTCGTGCCTTTTTTCTGCAGGGAGTGTGCGCTCTTTTTCGAATCCAATTCTGTACAGCGCTGTATGAGTGTATAAGCAAGAATAAAATACATGTATCTTATTGATCCTGCGAAAATTATAAGAGAGTGAGAGAGTGTGAGAATATAAATCGATGTAAGCGCATTAGTATATTTTTTCCTAAAAAGGGAAGCTTCTGTTAAAAATAAATATTAATAAATATTAACAAAAAGTTGAATTAAAGTAAAAATAATAGTAATAAAATATTCATATTATTATTATGAATAATGGAAAAAAGGAAAGAATTTTAGTGCGCTTAAATCATCCTAATTTAGTGTTGTCGATAAAGAAAAAATATTAAAAGTCTATTTAGATGCTGCAAATAATATGCAAGTAGTTTGATTTTAATTTAGTAAGGACGATTGGTTATCGTTCAACGTATTTTTCCATAAAACTTATGCGGCCAAAACATTTATAAAAAATGTGAATTAACATATTTAAGAGATATTTTAATTGATTTTGTATATTTTCCATTCCATGTCAAACATCTTTTTATTACTTGCGCCGTGGATCGAGACATTATAGTTTCTATTATGATTATCATACAGTTATAGTTAATCGTAAATAACGTTGTACATTACATTTTAATGACAATGCATTTTTTTATGTATAATTTTTATGTTTTATTTTTATTATTATCGTTTATCATTTTGTAATTTACTTTCGTTGGATTAATACTTTCATATATATAAAAGTGTCATTCGGTTAAATAAAGATGAATGATTTCTGGTAATAATGTTTTCTTTTCAATCCCATATTCAACCGCCATCAAATCCACACTAATTGTAAGTTTTATTATAATAAAGTTAAGACATTAACGAGTACTGTTGGAGAAGTAGAATATTTCAATTACTCTTGAATTATAGTTATTTTTTTATTGATACGTTTTTAGGTCATTTACAATATAAAAATATAATGGATAAAAAAAATTCATAATAAAATTACCAACTCAGTTCCCGGATACTTGGGAAGCTTCAAGTTGTACTTTTCTTCAAGTTTCTTTGGGACAAATCTTCCACCCAGATAATGATATTTTCCATTAAAATATTTAGAGCATAATTTAGGGGCTGTAAGGGAAATTAAAGCTTCAGGATTAATTCCACCATCTGAGGAGGGACCCTTTTCAACATCCCAACCAGATGGAATATCAATAGAGAAAATAGGTATTTTTGTGCTCTTTAAAATATCGATTATAGGAATAAATTCTTGTCGAACTGGCGGCTTGAAACTGAATCCAAACAGAGCATCAATAATAACCTTGTATTTTTTATCTTGTATATCAGACGTATCGTCTAGAATGGGAATATCATTTTTTCGACATTGATGGAGTAGATTTTCGTAAAGTTTATTACTGGTTTTCTTTGGATAATAAATTTCAGGATTATATCCCAGTAAAGTCAAATGTCGAGCACATACTAAACCATCTCCACCATTATTTCCAGGGCCACAACAAACAAGAACAGGGTTTGATTGATCTTCAATAAGAGGATAAGTTTTAGTGATTGCTATCGCACAACTTTGTCCAGCTAATTCCATCAATTGATCAACACTAAATTTATAGTCTTCAAACAATTCCTTATCAACATTTATTGCTTCTGATTGTTTTAACAAATTAACCATTTTGTTTTGATATTTTGATTGGCCTAAATAAAAAATCCTAGATTTTGAGTTACTCCAAAATAGATTAGAAATATTTGGTAAGTTCTTTAATGATTTTTTTAACATTAAAGATGAATTATTATTAACTGAAAAAAATATATTGTATTATATTATATTAGTTACTGAAAAATATTGGAATATAGATAAAATATAACTTACCAGTTGAAAAAATGTAAATTAAATCATCAAAATACTCAACTGTGAATTAAATATTTTATCTTATAACTAATTCTGTAACATTTTTTAAAAGCTGAAAAATGAATTAAATTAATTATTTTGATTGTTTTATCAAAATTATTCATAAAATAATTATATATGTATTTCTCTTTAGGAATTTATGTATTTACTTTATGTTCACTATTTAGTTTACTTTATTACTGCAGGTGGCGCTACAATCACGTATTTTAAAAAGCAGTAATAGATAGTAATTGAAGAATTTAAAAATACCGCTTTAAAATTTAAGTTCACAACTTTCAGTTAGACGGCGCAATGTTAGCAATATGCTCCATTGCAAAAAATAAAATTGCGTCAACTAACCTGTTCGCCTACGGTAGTTCAATGATGTTTATAAATATGCGAATCTGACATTTTTCGCACGTATAACATATTTAATATATTCATAATACCGTAAATAGAATATACATTAGTAAGTTGAGAACGTGATTCAATGCGTAATGCAACGTGAGACTGCATTTTAATTGTAATATATAACTTATTTATTGTAAAACGAAAAGTGTTTTTTTTAATAAAAAATGACAAGTGGCCAAAGTGGACATGATCATTCTTTTACCATTCGTCAAGAAATACAACGTTTTGAGAGTGTTCATCCATCAATTTATGCTATTTATGATCTTATAGATCTTATATCTGATGCTCAAATCGCGAAGCAAATAAGGGAACATGTTGTAGCCATTGAAGGTGAGGATATCGAGCAATAAATTATTGCCAGCTGTTGAAGTCATTACTCCAATATGTAGTTATATCGATTTTCAATATATAATGATTTAATTATTTAATAACCTCTTCTTTAGATTCTTTTGTTAATAGTCATGAATGGACTTTGGCGAGAGATGTCCCAGAATTACATCTGGGAATTATTGGGTCGTGCGATTCTGGAAAATCAGCATTGGTCCATAGATATTTAACAGGATCTTTTATGCATGAAGAATCACCGGAAGGTGGGCGGTTCAAAAAGGAAGTGTTTATTAATGAACAGAGTTATTTATTGTTGATTAGAGATGAAGGTGGAGTACCAGAAACTCAGGTGGGAATTGATTAAAATTTAAAGATTTTTTAAAATGATTTGTTAATATCAATTATGTATATTGGATGAAGTGAAAACAACTTTTCTTATAATTATTAACTATTAATTACTTGAAATAAGATCATCTGTCTGTTTAGACAACTAAGATCTTTTTAGTTTTTCTCTTTACATAATATATATTAGCTATATAATATTTTTGGAGGTACAGAGTAATAATATAAAATATTTCTTTACAGTTTTCTTCATGGATAGATGCTGTTCTACTCGTGTTCAGTCTTGAAAGTGAAGAAAGTTTCTCAGTTCTTTGTAATTATTATAACAAAATGTGCTCATTCAGAAATATGACAGATGTACCAAAAATTCTAGTGGGAGTACAAGGTAATTACAATTTAAAAAAAAAACAGAATTATTATCGTTAATAAAGTTTTAATTAAATTTATTGAAAAAACTTTTAGATTCGATAAACGAAACTAATCCTCGAGTAATTAAAGATGTTAGACCACGCAAATTAGCATGTGAGTTGCGTTGTCCATATTACGAAACCTGTGCCATTTATGGTTTGAATGTTGAAAGAGTTTTTCAAGACGCATGCCAAAAAATAATTCAAAAAATGCCTGGCTTTACAATTGTGTGTAATGGTCAAAAAATGAAAGAAAATCAATCTAAATATTCAGTACCTGTGATTACAAAAAATATTCTACTGCCCACCAAAGATGTAGAAATCAGCAGTCCTTCAAAATTAAGTTCAATTGATAAACCTAATGATTTCATAAGACCAATACAAGATTCTATGAGTCAATGTGATTCTATTTTAGCTAATGATAGTATTCAATACATTCAAAATCCTAATTCAGAATTTCGCTCATCAATTCTTACTCCTACGACAATTAGAAAGTTTAGACGGAAATCAAATATATTTACACCGTCGAAAAAAGAGAAATTTAACATAGGTGAAATAGGAGTTGGTAGAGAAATACCTGTGAAACAAGGATATCTTTTCAAACGAAGTAGTAAATCATTAAAAGAACGTAAAAAAAAATATGTTACGTTATTAGAAGATGGAAGACTCACGTATCACTCAAGTCTGCATGATTACATGAATGATACTAATGGTAAAGAGATTCTTTTACAATACGTAACTGTGAAAGTACCTGGAAAAACACCGAAAGGCTCTAAATTATCATCGATTCAAGACGATAGCTTTGAGTTTTCAATTATATCTCTAGAAAATAAAACATGGAATTTTGAAGCAAACAATGCAGAAGATAGAGATAGTTGGATTGCGGCAATTGAATTACAGATATTATCAAGTTTGCAGAACAGCGATGCTGATAAAAAAAATGAAACTGAAGCTTTTAAAATGCATTGTATTAGAAATAAAGTTTCGGGAAATGACGCGTGTGCTGATTGTGGAGCTGCAAATCCTGATTGGGCAAGCCTTAATCTTGGAATTTTAGTTTGCATTGAATGTTCTGGAATTCATCGGAATTTAGGCTCCCATATTTCAAAAATCCGGTCTCTGGATCTTGATGACTGGTCTGGTGGTCAATTAAGTGTTATGTTGGCATTAGGTAATGATATTGCAAATAGTGTATGGGAGTATAACCTTAATGGAAAACAAAAACCAAGTTCTGATTCACAAAGAGCTGAAAAAGAGCAGTGGATTCGTTGGAAATATGAAGAAAAAGCGTTTTTGCCACCTTCTAATCCTGGTAATCCTCTTGGAAAATTGCTCATTGATTCAGTGTGTCGGTAAGTTAATTAAAAATAATATATTAAATGACATTATATTGTCATGAAATATTACATTAAATTTTTCAATCATTTTTTACATTTCTAGAGGTGATATGAGGGCATTTACATTATGTTTAGCAAGATGTACATATGAAGATATAAATATTTCCGTGAGTAATGAAGATTTGAGGACACCATTGCATTTGGCGTGTGCCACTGGAAATTTAGCTATGGCACAATTACTAATATGGGTAAGTAATAAATCAAGAGTTGAAAATTTATTAACAAAACTTGAATTTGTAATTGAAAAAAAATGTTCAACCAAATTATTATATACATATTTGTTTTTTACTTAGCATAAAGCTAATCCACAAAATCTCGATCACGAAGGCCGTACCTGTATGTCGTATGTCAGAGCATTAGAAAGGACATTGGATAACACTGCTGATTCAATAGAAATGCAAAAGCTTTTAGAAGTTTTAGAACAAGCGAGTATATCTAGTATGGATGATCCTGATATGACTCAGTATTAAAAAATTTGATTGCTCCAAGGCAAGATCATTCTATGAACGATAGAAAATTTGATTTTACTTAAGTTCTTTATCTTTCTACGTCGATACTTATTTTTTTAAAATTATTCCACCGATTTTTAATGTTTTTCATTAAATTTGAAGCTAGTTTTTACCTAGTATTTGACCGTATAGGTTTAGTATTTATAAATTTTATGTTTGTTAAGTATTTCTCAATGTCTTAATTGAAACTGAATTTCAAGAATTTCAATATTTTTTTGTGAATACTTAAAATGATACAAATTGTCTAAATATAAGCGTATACATAAGTTTACTTATTAATTCAACACGAAAATTGATTCAGTATCTTAACAAAAATATTATTACCACTCAATGGAAGTTAATAATTATATATATATATATATATATATATATATATATATATTCTCGGAAAGTAACATAGATGCATCCCAATGAATGAAATCGATTTAGCGAGATGTAATCGAGTGTAATTTTTGTCAATGACTGAAAAGTACAAAACACTCATAAATCTAGTTATATTATATTTATACATTGAACTTAATGTACGTATTCGAGTATGCTTTTACAATTCACACATTTATTAAATATATTGTATCAACTTATACACTATATTTTAATATTCATTTTTCAATTTCCATAATTTCCTCATTTTTTGCTCGGTTTCTGTATCATTAACTGAAATCGAAATTTAGTTAAATTAACCATAAGCAGTTAATATATCTAAACAAATTTTTTAGTATTCATCCGAATTATTAAATACTTACGACAGAAAGGATAAATTCCAGAAGTTTCAAAAGCAAAATTGCCACGAGCAGGAAAGTGAACTGTTTCCAAACCCATCATTGAGCAGGAATCAACATCACATTTATCATCAATAATAAAATCACTCCACCGGAAACTAGCTGTAGTAGCATTATATCGATATGCCCACATATGGCAAGGTTCTTTTATTGCTGCAGCCATGTACCGAGGTGCACGAGTGTGACTGCAAGTAGCCAAGTTATATAATATTGTAATAGTGATCATAGGAATTTCCCAAAAATTTTTGTAGGGAAATGCTTCACCGTCTAATAAACAATTTGGTTGCCATTTTCCACCATTGACGAAAAAGTCGACATGGCCTACTCCCGAAGTCATTCCTAAACCTAAGAACGGTAAGAAAGGTTTGCCATCAGTATGGACAACGTCGATAAATGATGCATCACTGTTATTGAGTCGTACAAGAGCATTTTTGCCTTGAAACCCAGGCTGTGCTGGATCTAAAGCTGTTATACGGTGAATAGGTGGATTTGTAAAATTTTTTCCAACGTAAGCCATTATGTGAGCACCTAGACTGTGACCGAATAAATGAACTTTTGATAAATCTAAAGATGCATTGGCTTTTAAGTAGTGGATTACTCTGAAATATAAAATTTAAATAATTTTCGACATTGTTAGAAAACAGGGGTATACTTCCGATTAGACATCACCCTCAACGGAAAACAGAATTAATAGCAAATTGAAAAAGAACATTTATATAAAATATTCTCTCTAGGAAATGATTATTTTACCTCTGAATTTCTGCTGCTACTATTCGAGTATTAGAAGCTGCAGTACAATAGAGTGCTGATGATCCTAAAGCCCAATCTACTGCAAAAACATTACTGTCTTTCTGTATAAAAAAAATGTCTATATAGATGTATTTTATTTTTTGTATTTCTTTATTGATTACTTAAATTGAGATCAACCTACTTTGAACAAAATTGCTTCCGTTAAATTATTAAACCAAGGATTATCACTTTCACTAGTATATCCATGTGTGATAAAATATGTAGGTTTTTGAGAGTTAAATTCTGGATGAATTTGAATAGTGGGCCAAGTCTGAATGAATGTTTTATTCACAATACTGTAGACAATAAATTATTTGTGATATTGGAATAGAACTTTTGAATTGACTCATCAACAAAAGAAATAAAAAAAAATGATATACCGATTTGAAAAGAAAAAAGTTGTATTAACATCTTGTGGTGATTCTGGTGCAGAAAAAGGTCGAAATAATGAAGCCCAAGGGTATTCGGTATCAAAGCATCCTAGTTCATCATAACAAACGGAACCTTCAGTAACTTGGGCAGAAAAAAAATTATTATTTAAAAAAATATGAATAACTAGTTTTGAATTTGAAATAAATAAGTAGTATAGACGGAAACTTGTCTTACCATTTATAAATATTCCAATAAAACACAAACTTAACCATTGATAGACTTTAAAGTCCATTATAAATACGACAAATTTTTTTTAGAGATTAAATATTTTAACTCTAGTCAATTTTTAAGTAAATTTTACTATCAAACAATCGATTAAAAAATATAAAATTAACCAAATTATCAAAAACAATTTCAATTCGTCACCTTATTAACAGTTGATTGAATTAATCATAGATGTGATATAGGTCGATAATTCAATGGAATTAATTTGCCTTATATAATACTTAACACTTCATAAGATATGTATTTCAATGCACGCAAGCATTAATTTATAAACAGATTCATGTGAAATTTTCATTCCTTATGAATTATTACAGTAATTAAAAAAGGCAGACATTTCTAACAATTGATTAAATATTGGCTTATAAAATATAGATACATTAATTTATCGATAATGTTTGAAGTGGTTAATTTTGGCAACTGTGGCATGATACATTTCTTCATTAACAATTTCGCTTTTGTCTAAATCATCTGAAAATTTTTTATTTAAAATTAATATAAACATATCAAATACTATTAAATAAAATATTTTTTAGTCATATCGTTTTAAAATCTTTATTTACCTGGCATATACACATTGGGTGGAAATATTGGCACACGGCTGTAGTGAAATATAGTAGTTTTCTTTTCAATTTTTTTTTCCGTAGATAATGTACACATCCATGATGAAGGTGCTCTACATCAAATTGATTTGTTATTATCATTTTTCTACTGTTAAAAAAATGCTATATAGTTAAACATAATTTTTATACCTGTTTCTCACTTCTGCCATAAATTCTTCAGGTGCTGGCATACTAAATGTATATAGTTGTGGATCTGATAAATCTGTAAAATCAATAAGCGATGGTGATCCTCTGAATGTTTTTAAAGCTGTTTCAAATATTTTTTGTAAAATATCATAACGACAATTCAATTGTCGTTGAATAAGTTCAAGAAATTCAAGAGATACATGGATTTGCATTAGAGTTTTTAATTTTTTTCTGTAATTCAATTAGGTTAAGTCAGCTTAAGAAATTAAGTCAACGATAAATTGTTTGTAATTATTGAATATATTTGATATTTACCGATATTTATTTACTTCGAATTCTCCAGTTGACACATCATCTAACATGTTCTTCAAATCATACATATCCATGATATTCATGTTTGACAATAAATATATATAATCTCTGGTAATCTTTTCCATTCCCATATCAATTACCAATTCCATGGATATAGATCCTGCATGTAAAGATACTTTTTGTTCATCAAAAACTGCTGATACCATTTTCGCAAACCTGGTATCTTCCATTGAATTAAACTAAAAATGGTTATATTTATTAAAATAAATAAATTTATAGTTTTTAAATATTAAAACTAGTATACCTCAGGCTTGAAATTATGATGTGTTATAGATTCAAAGACTTCGTGTACACAATCAGTCATTAGAATGTATGAATCAGCACATCTAACAATCTGCCAAAATTCATCTGTAAAATCGAGATTTTGTCTTTGAGATAATTCTTTCACAAAAGTTATTAATTGAAAGTCTTTGTCATTAACATCTTGTACCGAACACTCTTCATTTTGGTTTTTATTATTATTTTCAGTATAATAGTCTCCCATTAAAAACCGAATAAGTCTATCTCTAACACTATCTTCATCCTAATCAATAAAATAGAAATTGAAAGGGTAATATTTGTATTCAATTACTTTAAAATGATAAATATTTACTTGAAAATAAGGATTGACAAAGTTTTTTGGAAAAATTAAAGGTTGCACGCTGTATCTAGAACTTAAATATCTTTTATGATAATCATCAACCATTGAAATAAATTCATGAAGTATTGATAGCTGATTCCATAAATCATTCAGTGAACTTGATGTAGATCCGCTTATTATTTCTGCATCCTAAAATTCAAATAATGATTAAAAAATGTTTTTTTTTAATATGATATCGATTCTAACTAATTCATTTATAGTTTCTTACTAGATTGTTAGAATGTGTTGTTAATGGTGGAAAAAATGATAAAGAATTCCATTGGCCTTCAATCTGTAAATATCCTTTAGAGTCTCTGGTTTGTTCTTTCCTCCAACCAAACATTTTATGATTTATTCCATAAAGTTCATAAAAACTAGTAACCGATATATTAACATCAGTATAAGATGAGCTCCCTAAATGCTTTTTCAATAATCCAGCATATTCAGTTTGAAGATTTTTTAACGATTCTATGCCCGATACTTTGACATCAAATGTCATGAACCATTCAGAATTATAGAAAGATCCTATTAATACATTTTTAGTATTTTCCATTTTTGGATTACAAAGTGCAAAAATAGGTGAAGTCCAACTTTTATCGAAACCAATATTTTTTTGAAGAATATTTAACAGTTCTCTGTTAATAATAAAAGTGAATTGAATAATAAGTTTAATTACATTGATATTGTTATATATGCGTTTGTTAAAAAGAAGCGATAAAATGATCTTACATTCCTTTCTTTCTTGGAATTGGTGAATATTCTTCTTCATTTTCTAACCAGTTTCTTTTCATTGGAGTTATTGTTATAGTAAAACTATCATCACCAAATGAATGTTTTAAAGGAGATCCTGTCAGGTCTAAGCCTATAAATATAGAACAATACTTTAGTTTCAAACAATCAATTAATTAACAATTACTATTTAAACAATATTTACTTACATGATTCATGATTTGATTCATTATCAGAATTTTCTATCTTTTTTATTAAGCTATTTTCCGAATTCTAAAATTAAAATTTTCTTTTTTAAATAAAGCCATACGAAAAATAATATTAATAATTATTAATTAATAACACTCAAATGTTTATTTACATTTATACAAAACAATAATACTGAAGTTTTTTGCCCAAAAAATGGAAATAAACGATTAATATAAGATACATTGTTTTCTATCACATCAATTAAATAGTTATGAATAATATTAGAAACACATTTTAAATTACTATTAATATTTTTTTTCACGTGTAAGATATTTTTTGAAGTATTATTTCTATTCATGGTGATTTGACAATATCACATGGACCAATTGTCCGTTACACTCGCTGACATATTTAAATTTCTTAGAAACCGGGAAAAAATGTTACTTATTTGTCGATAAAATCAAAATCTAACATTATTTCTGTTAGTGAATTATTATTGTTGGCGAACCCATAGATGACGTAAGTAGAACAATCCTAGTCAGAGCGTCCTCTAGTAGGGAGCGTGACATCCGTCCCCAATAAGATGTCAGTCAAAGGCATTTTTACAATCTTTTAAATTTAAATCTTTAAATGTATAATCTTACTGATTGTCAATCAAATTCTATGATGCCCAGATTTTTTATCTAATGATCATTTTAAAAATAAGCTTTATTCTTTTAATCTTTTAAAATTGGTTTTTTTAATTTTCAATCATTTAATATTCAATCAAATTATAAAAATTCTTCTTTTTTTAATGTTTATCATTTCGTTGAACAGTCAGCTTAAGAAATTAGGACTGGTAAATTATCTTGCGTCGGTATAGTAGAAAAAAAATTCAAAATGCTTATACAGAGAAAAGTCTTCTTTCTGGCTCATGTAATGTCATGTAATTCCTACTACATAAATAAGTATATTTAGGCTTATAATCTAATGATAATAACATTTTTATCTCAATGTTAACGTAATAACGTAATCCAAGTGAAAAAAAATTGAAAACTGAATTATTAAAAAGTTGAAAAACTTCAAAAATAATGTCTGTCAGTATTATTCTCTTCTTTCATAAACATAAACAATTTTCGTGCAACGAAAAAAAAAAGTTTTATTACTTAAGTTTTTATAAAAATAAATCAGTATTTGTAATGAATACCTTAATTTACCTGAATTTAAATATAAATATAATATGAATATAAATTTATTAATAAATTTTAATATAAATCACTAGTCAGCTTTGAGTAAATAAATTGTGACCATTAATGTTGGTAGTAAATGAGTACATCGTTCCTGTTGGATGATATTATTTTTTATGGAAAATTGTATATATGAGTTATATCTTATTTTATCTTACCATTGAAATACGATATCAACGATAATAAATACTGAATTTTTGTACTTAAGTGAGACAGAAATGAACATATTACTTCTAGACATGATTGGTGATGAAGTTTGAACTCTATTGAGTTTGATACAATCATTGGATATCCAAAAATAAAATTATAAATGAATTACCACTCTTCCTACGTTAATGATAAGAATAATGATGAATACTTCATCAATATTATTTTTTAACAAGCTTTCTTGTACAATTTATAACTTACTTCTAAATTTAATGTATCCAAACCAATGTTATCTATGCTTCATAATGCAGGATATTTTCCATTTATGCATTCTTTGTTAAATTTATCTAATATAGATAATATTTTTGTTCGATTATATAAAAAAAATGCTCCTTCTTTATTACTGATAACTTTTTTATCAGCTTCGGGATTTTCTGCTATAATAACTGGATGACTTGGTTTCTTTTATGTAATTTCACGTATAATCTTCATTGAAATTACATGGCTATTTTAAATTATCATTTATTATTATCATTAGATTGTAAGCCTAAATATACTTATTTATGTAGTAAGAATTACATGACATTACATGAGCCAGAAAGAAGACTTTTTTCTGTATAAGCATTTTGAATTTTTTTTCTACTATACCGACGCAAGATAATTTACCAGTCCTAATTTCTTAAGCTGACTGTTCAACGAAATGATAAACATTAAAAAAAGAAGAATTTTTATAATTTGATTGAATATTAAATGATTGAAAATTAAAAAAACCAATTTTAAAAGATTAAAAGAATAAAGCTTATTTTTAAAATGATCATTAGATAAAAAATCTGGGTATCATAGAATTTGATTGACAATCAGTAAGATTATACATTTAAAGATTTAAATTTAAAAGATTGTAAAAATGCCTTTGACTGACATCTTATTGGGGACGGATGTCACGCTCCCCTCTAGTATAGACTATGGATGATTTCGCATTTGCATCAAAGAATCTTCTCTGTAGTAAATTCTAGCTGACTTTACTTCTGAGAAATATCTACCGCACACGAGTAAACGAAGTGAAACAAAGAAGGAGAGTGAGAGAGTTAGAAGTAGTGTAAAACGAAAACGCCACAAATGTTGGGGTCGCGTTTGCGCCGCGAGTGTTAAATCACCGATAATGTCAATACTCGATAGGTAGAATTTTTCAAAAAGATATGCGATGCCTTAAAAACCTTGACAATTCAAAGCAGATGACGTGAGTGGTGAGCGAGAAAGGAGCTAGTGTCGTAAAAAACTGAAAACCAGAAAGTTGGTGTAGTGTTGTTTGTGGATTATGAAAAAGTCGAGTAAGTATCGAACGGGTGTGGGTAACATTTCGTCAGTGTGCCTGTCCGAGGTAAAATCGGACAGAGCCGAGCCTCAAGACAATCTTGGTAATTTTTACATGAAGGAGCAAGATATACCAGAATATCTTGAAGGCTGTGGCCTTACAACGTGTTCCACCGTTAACGAGATGCCTGAAGCAGTGGAGGTGCTTGCCAAAGAGCATTCTAAGGAGAAAAAATTATCAACAACATCAATTGCTACTGGTGGTGATACGAAAAAAACAGTTACTGTTAAGCATCCAGAGTCAAATAAGCCAAAACCAACAGCTAAAAAGGGTAAACCCATTCAAGCTGATCTTGATGTTGCTAAAGAATTTATTCGTTGTAGAGATGAATGTCTTGCTCGTCTTGATCTTAGTAAATCAAGTATTACAAATCTTCCAAACTCTGTAAGAGATTTATCACACTTGGAAGAATTTTATCTGTATGGTAATAAACTTGTTACACTTCCACCCGAAATAGGATGCTTGACAAATTTAAGGACTTTGGCATTGAGTGAAAATTCACTCACAAGTTTACCAGATTCTTTAGAAAACCTCAAGTGTCTCAAAGTTCTTGATTTAAGGCACAATAAGCTCAATGAAATACCAGACGTTGTATACAAACTTACTTCACTTACGACGCTCTTTTTACGTTTTAACAGAGTTCGTTTTGTGAGTGATAACATCAGAAATTTAACTAATCTAACGATGTTGAGTTTAAGAGAAAATAAAATAAAATCATTGCCCGCTGGAATTGGTAAATTGGTCAACTTAATAACTTTTGATGTATCTCACAATCATCTGGAGCATTTGCCTGAAGAAATCGGAAACTGTATCCAACTATCAACTCTTGATTTGCAGCACAATGAACTCTTGGATATTCCTGAAAGCATCGGAAACCTGGTCGCTGTTACAAGATTAGGATTAAGATATAATCGTCTTTCGAGTATCCCCAAGTCTCTCGCGAATTGTCGATTGATGGATGAGTTCAGTGTGGAGGGAAACCAAGTGTCACAGCTGCCTGATGGTCTTCTCTCTAGCCTTTCAGATCTCACGACTATTACTTTATCAAGAAATTGCTTCACTGCTTATCCCTCGGGTGGTCCGTCCCAATTCACCAATGTTGATTCTCTTAATATGGAACATAACCAAATTGACAAAATTCCATATGGAATTTTTTCACGTGCAAAAAATCTAACGAAACTAAATATGAAAGAGAATCAATTGACAGCATTACCACTAGATATTGGTACTTGGGTGAACATGGTAGAGCTAAATCTTGGTACAAATCAATTGACTAAAGTGCCAGACGATATTCAGTGCCTACAAAATCTCGAAATTCTCATTTTATCAAATAACCTGTTGAAAAGAGTCCCACAAACTATTGGCAATTTACGAAAACTTCGAGTTTTAGACCTTGAAGAAAATAAAATCGAAACTTTGCCAAATGAAGTAGGCTTTCTCCGAGATTTACAAAAGCTTATTCTTCAGTCGAATCAAGTTACATCATTGCCCCGTGCAATTGGACATCTTGTAAATTTAACGTATTTAAATGTCGGAGAAAACAATTTAAATTATTTACCAGAAGAAATTGGTACCTTAGAAAATCTAGATTCTCTTTATGTTAATGATAATGCAAACCTGCATAATTTGCCATTCGAATTGGCTCTTTGCACAAATCTCAGTATTTTGTCAATAGAAAATTGTCCTTTGTCCAAAATTCCTGCTGAGATTGTTGTCGGTGGTCCGTCCTTCGTAATCCAATTTCTCAAGATGCAAGGACCCTACAGGTCAATGTAATAAAGCGAGGCCTTCGAGGAACGCGAGACATGTTCGTGTAATTGTATCACCAGGAGATGTGCTACGATGTGTCATTATTTGTGGTTTTTCATTGTTAGAAGAAAAAAAAGAAGCAGTAAGTTTGGGGTATCAAGTGTGGAATTGTAGGAGCTTCCTCGAAGCCAGATAACAGATGATAGTGATAAAAAAAATAAAACTATTGTCAACCTATTTATCAGTATCAACTGAGTCCTCCATCTCGCGTGTGTCGAATTTTTTTAAAATAATACTTTTCCCATGGTGCCAAGTACATGATAATCATTCTGCAGAACGAAAATTTGATGAAAATAAATAAACAAAATAAAAATTATTACAATTACTCTATCGAGTCATCAGCATCGTTCTGCGTAAAACGCAGTAGTTTAAAACATGACATCATCATCATCATCATCATCATCATCATCATCATTTCTCTCTCTCTCTCTCTCTCTTTCTCTTACACTCTTTCTTTTTTTCTTTTTCCTCCAACAATTGTTGGTTAAATTTAATAATCTGAAAGATACGTAAACCCTTATTGAACTCTTTTTTATTGTTATCTTTTAGAATGTTATTTTTAAGGCTGTTATTTAATTATTTGTAAAGAAATAATCACTTTTTTAAAGAAAATAATTGTTTTGGTTTAAATTACATATTCGAAATATTAGATAACTTATTTATTTTTATTGTTTTACAAAAGAGAAATTTTATATTATAGAAAACTTTTGAATTGGAATTTGTTTACTAATAGTCGTTGAGTGTTTTATTAATTTTAATTAAAAAACAAGGTATATGGAATCAAGGTATAAATCAATTACTTTTTGATTACTATCGATAAAAAAATTCAATGACATTACTCACAAGTTTTGTAACAGTAAATGTACTAAAGATTTATGTAGTATTTTACAGATTTAGTTTAATAAGATTTTATCGATGTTTGTAACTTTATTTTCAAATTTATTCAATCAAAATGAAAAAAAAGAAATATAGTATTGTGAGTAGTGTACTTAAAAATGAAATTAAATATTTTATTATTTTTAAAAATAATTTTTTTTTAAATATTTAAAAATTATCTGTAATTATTTTTTGTAATGATGGTAGATTATTAAGATAATAATGAAAAATAGAAAATGAAAAGCTCATGATTATTTGTTTACTATGTTCGTTTAGCAAATTGAATGAACTTTTATTGTAACATAATGTCATTCAAATGGAACAAAAATTTTTGTCGATGTGTTTCAGAGAACAATAAAGGTATCTAATCGTTTTTCTCTTCTTCCCAAATGAAATTTTATATGATATTAATTTTTTACCCTTGAGACGACACTTTGATTGGTCCTGTCGTATCAGGTTGGATACTTTCTTTTCTCCTTTTACTCTCGTTGTCTTTGTCAGCCCAAAAATGGGGCCGCGAGATAAAAGAAGACAATATTTACATATATACATATGATATATTATATAAATATAATGCCATACTACGATGAATTTAAAAATTAAAAAAAGATATTACATAATAAATAAACACTAGCCGTTATATTAGCTTCAAAATAAATATTTTGTTATACATACACAAGCCATTTTTCTATATGTACCTGCATTTAAAATAATCGTTGACACTCTAATAAAACGTAAAAAATTGTTGAAATAAATGAGCCTTAACTTCTGAAGTTTTAAAATTAAGATAACTTGTAAAATGCAATTATTATCAATAAAAATTGTGAGAATAACAATGTATGTAATGATATAACAAAAAAAAATTTAATGATTATAAGTGTAATTTTTTCTGAAATCTCTCTTCAAGTATTTCTTTCCCTTGGTACCGCGAGAAATTTTTGTAAATTATGTCTACTTTTATATAATTCATAAGCGGATTGCTGAGTGAAAATGCTAGATATTGAAAAAACATAAATTATTTATTTTTATGCGAATGTTACAGTACAGTGAAAATAATATGAGTCATCATGTTCTGATGCAACTTTTTTGAAATCATCTTAAAATATCCTAGGTATTATAAGAAATTAATTACACGCACAAATTGTATCTTTTATCATTAATATTACGAATGAAATTTTCACTATATTTCTACTTTATAAAACATTTTAAATTTATTGATTTATTGGATCTTTTGTTGAATTGCAGAAAATAGTTTTCATTTTTATCATCATTATTAATCATAAAATGTATTGTAATAATTAATGTAAGATCCATTAATTACCTTTAAAAACTATTTTAATATTAATTTCATTAACAGTAGGATTAAGAACCGTATTACTGTAGCTTTGTTTGTGCCAGTTTCGGTGATTTTTTAGGTCATTTATTTCAAAATTAATTTACTTTTAAATGTAATAGATTATTTCATTTGTTATCATCAATACTAAATAATAATGATAATAATAATTGTAATTGGTTGGCTATGCATTATGAGAATAGAATTAAGATAATTTCTATGTTAAAATCGTGTTCCGTAGCCTTATTGGCACAATATTATGTGTATAATTTAATAAAGTGTAGTGTAATTGTCCTTTAATGTATATTATTAAAAAACAAAAAAAAGTGAATACACTATTAATATTACTGTATAAATATTTCAAAATATACCAATATACGGAGAAAAATATTATATAAATTCTTTCCTGACTTACATTAATCTAAAAATAACTATACTATTATAAGGAAAGTTGTAGCTTGTTCAATATTATCATTCTTATTAAATAAATTTTGTTTATCAGTACATATATATTTATTTTTTTAAGTTCTACAAAGATTAACATGAAATTTTATATTTGTTTATTTTTCAACTTTTATACAATCAATTTTTTTAAATTCAAATTTCAACTTAACTAAAATAAATTATTTTCAATATTCATTTTATTATATTGTGCAATATTTTTTCATGTATTTACTACAAATATCATTCTCACCCACTAATAATATATATATATATATATATATATATATATATACATGCATTTACAAGTAGAGTATTGTAAACTGCCCAAAACTTTAGATTTTACATTTATTAGTAGAGATGTGAATTTACCGGTAATAGAAAATTCGGTAATTACCACGTAAAATTACCGGTATCTGACGGTATTCTGACGTCAAAAAATTCTGAATGTAAAATTTACCGTCAAGCCGTCGGTCAGCGTAATTACCGTAAATTACCGGTCATTCGCATCTATATAGATGAATATGATGAGCTTTTTACCGAGGAAATGGCTTGCTTTCGAACTTGCTTGCCAATTTGCTTATGTTAATTTTGCTTTTTGCACTTGTTAATTTAAAACTAATTAATTATTATAAGATGAAAAAAAAATTTTGTAATTTGTAATAAAAAAAATATTTTACATTTTTGACTGTTAGGACAGAAATAATAAATATATTGAAAATTATTATAAACGTTTATTTAGTTAAGTTTTTGGTACATTTTTTTTTATAAAATAGATAATCCTTCGTTATTACATATTATAAAGAATTTGACTTTTTTAACTTTTATGTAAATTATTTATGAAAAAATAAAACCATATAATCTATAGTTTCTATCAACTAGTAATATCACATAATAATTGACATATTTCATTAGGAAATAACAAGTCTAATACTGATTCAATTCCATCAACATCACTAATTAGTCTTGAGTAAATTCTTCTTCTAAAAATTCAACTTCTTCATGCTCAGCACAAATTTCACTTATTTCATCCTCTCCTTTATTACTTTCCTCATCTTCTTCCCATTCTTCTTCTGTATTTTTTGGTGAAGGATTAAGTAATTTTAAATTTCTTGCAATGTATGTTATTTTTCCAGCTCTATCGATACTTAACTTATTTCTTTTAGATGAATGAATCCATCCTTGTGTACTAAAGGAACGCTCGGTTGCAGCTGATGTTGCAGGTAAAGTCAATATAGCCACAGCTATTTTGCTCAACGAAGATTTTTGGCAAATACTTTGCCACCATTGACATGCTGAAGTGATTATACTTGCTCGCTTAACGTAGTCGTAACTCCACATACTTGATTCTGACACATAATCTGTTAAATCTTTGAATACCTTATCACTATTTAGATTTAATTTATCACCAAGATTTATAATTAATTGATGAGCTTCAACCATTTCTGACCTATTTAAATTTTTTCCTTTTAATTGAGGATCAAGTAAGTTAGCTGCATAATGTATGGGCCGTAGAGCCATAGTTTTACGATTTTCTAAACAAGTATATATGCTCAGCTTTTCTTCTTCCGAAAAAATATTTCCAATATTGCTTGACTACCAATATCTTTCATGAGTAGGTTAAGAATGTGAGCAGTACAACCATAACAATACAATTTGTCGACATTATACTTTTGATCTATCAAAGTCCAAGCACTTTTCATTGCAGCACAATTATCTGTACAAATTCCGATAACTTTTTTAATTCCCAAAGCATCAATAACACTTCCTATTTTTTCAGAAATATATAAGGCAGTTTGTGATTCGGTTCCAGTTGGAAATGTTTTGAAAAAAACTGGCGCTGGGGTTGTTACAATAAAATTGATGATTCCTTCTTTGCGAATATTAGACCATGCGTCACATTGCACTCCAACAGTAGTAGCAGATTCAATTTTTTCATTAACCATATTTTGTGTTCTAACGAATACTGAATCTAAAAGATTATTTGATATTTGATTTCTTGATGGCAAATTAAATGAAGGCCGTAATGCGTTAAAAAATTTTAGCCAATATGGATTTTCTGTTATACATAATGGTGTACCAGATGCATAAATCGCTTCTGCAAGTAGTTCTTGTAGAGAATCTTCATCTTTTTTTGACATTTTATCACAAAAAACTATCGATTGTATTTTTTTTATAGTTATTGCTACAAACACTTATATTATTTGGTAAATTTTCATTTGAAATCATTGAAGTACTTGCTCTATTGTCTGCTTCATTCAAATCTTCAATAGTAAATGAGTCGTCTGTGCTGTTTAGATGAGAATTATTTCGTTTACGAGGTTTACATGGTTTTAAAAGTTTCCGTAAGTCTTGAGGACAACTTCTACACTCTTTATAAAGATGTTTTCGCATGCGAGTAATGTTTTCTGCATACTTTTTCTTGCAATAGTTACATGAATACGATTTTTGGTTAGGTTGCAGAGGTAATGCAGAGAAATGTTTATATATTGATTTGTTCTCCCCCATTGCACCAAGTTCTCAATGAAAATCCTTATCTACAAATTGAATTTTCTTATATTAAATATTATCAGTATTTTTAATAAACAAATAAAAATGAAAATATATACCTGATAGAACAAATAAACAGTTGTATGCCGTTGGGAATTCTAAACTGTGATTGGACATGTATTAAGGCTGGGCTGAAGTCAGAAAGTTTCCCGGAGTTGACTTTACGCTCTCGCGTTGTGCGGCAAAAGGCCGAAGCTTGACATCAACTGAAATTGAGTAGGTAACAGGGAAATCGTTCGAAAAATGATAATTTTCAGGGATGCACTACAAAAAGGGAGCCTTAGGGCACCAAGAAATTTACAAATTTTTGAATAATCTGTTTCGAGCAAGACAGAGCACAGAATATATCTATCTATCTCCGTCTTATTTTTCAGAGAAGACTGCGAGTTCGAACAGTTGACGAGCAAGCACATCCCCCACCCTCTGTTACCAAGCCTGAAGCTTATGATATCTAAACGTAAACAAAGCAAATGAAAATATGTTGGCTCTGTAGTCAGAAGATTCGACATTTATTTTACCGAACGGTGTTCGATTCCAATTGCGGAAAATTTTTTTTTTTTAATTCAAATTGCATGTAATTGCAATTTTATCATGCCGAAAATGAGTTTTAAATTTCAATTTTTATGTAAAATTATTTTTCAATCAATCGATGACAAATGAGACAATATTTGAACAGGGTCATTAACCTTTTTTTGTACAAATACATTGATAATAGCCTTTTTTAACAACTTATTAACAATAAAAAATAGTTTAAACAATCCGCGGCAAGTTCCGACACTTCACCGGCAAGCTCTACCCCTACTCTCTGTGCCCAAGCCTGCAGCTTATAATTTTCAAGCATCTTCACTATTATTGAAACCATAATAGCTCAGTGGTTAGAGCACCAATCTTTTATTTTGCTGGGCAGGGTTCGATCCCAGTCATAGGCAATTGTTTTTTCTTTTTTTTGCTTAAGTGACTTTAAATACTCATAAATTAATTCATATATTTGATTAAATTATTCTTCCAATTAATTACGGAAAACAACTTGTTTTTCTGAAAATAAGCTGAGGGTGAGGAACGAGTTACTATGAATTCTCTTTTTTCGAAAGTGTTGTCTTTAAAAGACAATAGGAATTGATTTTGAACTTATATAAACAACCAATTATTGTATTTATATAAAATTTTAATGAAAAAAAAAGGAAAAAAAAAATTGGCTATGACTGGGATCGAACCCTAATCGGTAAAATGAAAGCTTGGTGGTCTACTCACAGAGCTAACACATCATCTCTGACATTATGTTTATGTTTATGAATTGTATAATGCAGGCTTGAGTACGAAGGGTAGGGATAGAGTTTGCCGGCAAAGTGCCGGAAATCCCCGTGGATTATTTCAACTACTTCTAAATATTTCTAAATTGCTTAAAAAAAAGCTACGTTCATATAGCTATAGTAAAAAAAGTGTTTATAACCCTGTTCATATGTTTTCCGACTCGGCGTCGATAAATTACATAAATAATTGAGAAAAAAAAATCAAATCGTTGTAAACAATTACTTTTGGCATGTTAATATTATAATTACATGCAAATCTAACAAATAAAAGAGAAAAAAAAACTTTATCATGACTGGAATCGAACCCTGCCTAGCAAAATAAAAGACCGATGCTGTAACCATTGAGCTGTTATGGTTTCAATACGCTTAAAAATTATAAGCTGCAGGCTTGGGCACAGAGAGTGGGGGTAGAACTTGCCGGGAAAGTGCCGAAACTCGCCACAGATTGTTTAAACTACTTTTCAATGTTAATAATAATATGATTAACTTTTTTATAACATAACATTGTTAATACATGTAAAGATGTATAAGTTGTTAAACACAGGCTATTATCAATGTATTTATACAAAAAGAAAGTTTATGGCTCTGTTCAAATATTTTTCGACTTAGCGTCAATAAATTCAATGAATAAAGAGAAAAAAAAATCAAATTGTTATAAAAGATTAATTATAGCATGTCAATATTATAATTACATGCTAATCTAACGAATAAAGTAGAAAAAAAAAAATTGGTTATGACTGGGATCGAACCCTGCCCGGCAAAATAGAACTCTGACGCCCTAACCACATGGCCAGCATAATCTCGATATTGAGTTAATGTATATTTGTTTTTACACTACATGCTTGGATACGCCGACTTGGAATTGAGCTTCCTTATTAACATTTATACCTAATAAAAATGATAATAATGGATGAGTATATGTATTTGAAGTTATTTGCAGGTATTATATTAATTAATGTTAAATGAGTATCATCATTTTTATTTATCCTAACTGCAATAGTCATCAAAGTGTAGGGCATTGTAAAGTGATACACTATGTTTACATCACATACATATATTACCCGTACACACACATACAGAATTTACTCGCCAAAATGCAGGGCACCATCAGTTCTGGATACGGATTGAGCATTTTTTCAATATGGATGACTGAGGTCATCTGCGAGCATAATGCTGTCACCTATCAGAATTTTTTCAAACTAATTTTCCGGAGAATATCATCTGGAATACAAGATTTCTAATTATTTCTAAATTATTCAATTTTACACTATGAATTGATTTTTTTAACATTCAGACAGGTGGCAAGGACTGACGCAAACACGAATTTTGGGCGAAAAACGTATAAAAATGAAATAATTAGTGATTTTTCATCTGAATGATGTGGCCGCCATCTTGAAATTTAAGCGCGGCAAGTCAATTCATAATTTTTTCATTATTCTTTCTAATTTTTTTAATAAAAATATTCACTATATACAAAAAATTGTTGTTTACGTCAGTCCGGCATTAATTCCTCTGTAATTTGGTACCTAATTTTATAGAAATAATTGTAAATTGGCGAAGAAATTAGAAATTCCCCGATCCCATGTATTTGGATAGGGGGAATCAGTCGCCTTTCTGACTTCAGCCCAGCCTTAACCAATCAGAGATCAGCATTTTTCTGACCGGTATGGTAAAACAGGCTTGGTCATTGACGCGTTTTTTACCGGTAATTTACGGTAAATTTACCCGTCAATTACCGATTCACATCTCTATTTATTAGTTTGAATATATATTTATATACATATACTGTTCTTTCATGTATAATGTGTATGTATGTTTCGGATTCAGTCTTATTAATAATAAATAATATTAAATTAAATTAAAAATGAGTACAACGGGATTGAAATTGATTAAAAAGCAGTAAGTATTAAATTCACAATTTATTGAATTTATTGAAATTAATTTTTATCGTATTTTTAATTTTTATGGGTTATATTAGAGGTTAGCGTCAATAATATTCCCATGTTAGATAAATATTAATTTAAGAAATTCATCAAAAATGTTTACAATAGGAATCCATATCCTCAAGGTATGAGATGCCAAAAATGTTTGGAAATGGGTCATTGGAGCTACGAATGCAAAGGGAAAAGAAAATATCTTCATCGATCTTCTCGAACAGTTCAGCTGAAAAAGGCATTGAAAACATTAGAAACAGAAAAGCCGTAAATATTATTATGAATACTTCTGTGCAAGATTAAGGAAATATTCATGTTTATGTTTAAATTATTAAAAATTTATTTCATCAATCAATTTTAGAATATCTTCAGCCATTTCTGAAAATAAAGTGGCAATACCAAAGAAAAAAAAGAAGAAAGAAATATCAAGCAACTCTAGTAGTTCGGATTCTTCGAGTAGTGATAACAAAAGCAGTTCTTCAGACTCTTCATCTTCGGATAGTGATTCTAGTAGCTCTAGTGACAGCTCTGGTAGTAGTAGTAATAGTAGTAATAGCAATAGCAGCAGTAGTAGTCACACGAGTAGTAGTGAATCAGATCACAAAAAGAAAAAACGTAGGAAAAAAAAATGAACATAGAAAATTTTTTAATTTATTATCTTAAAAAACGTAATTGATTTTTTATTACAGTGTTGACATTTGTTGAAAGATTTACAAGCTATTCAATAACTAAAAACATATTCATTGAAAAGGATTTTTTCATATATTTCTGATAGTATTGTGAACGTAAACTGCTTGTATTAATCAATTTCTATACATTTTCCGAATATATATTTTTGTAACATGTTAAAGACAATCATTCAACTATCTTTTAAACTAAATTTTTTAGTTTTCAATCTAATCTATGATTAGAAATTTTGTTAAAATAATCTTGTGAATAATTGAGATAGTTATCAGTTTAAGTACTAAATAGAATAATCATATTTTAACAAGATAGATAAAATAGGAATGTAGGTTTTTAATAATATTAAAAAAAATTTTTTTTAAATATTTGTATTTTTACAATTGTCATATTGAGTATAAACAGTATAAAAATTATTGACAAGCTAATGAAAATCATGTAAATAAATTTATAAGATTATTCATTTACATTTTCGGGTAATGTTTGAATAATAACTCTCCGTTTGGAATCATAAACAAAATTATTTTTCTTGAAAATATCACTTTCATAAAATGAAGTTAAATTATGAATATCTATTTGTTTAGCTCTATCAAGCAAATCTTTTTCTGCAATTTCGATAATTGAAATATGACTTCCATGGAGAGCCTTTTGAAAGGCCAAAGTATCAAGAGTAATTTGTCGAAGAATGTAGTAAAGTAATTCACTGTGATCTTTTTTATACATCAAATATTTCTGGAACGTATGACGCATGCTTTTCATAACTGAATATTTTTGAGTATCGACAAAGCTATCAAGCATCATTCTTATGGCAAGGTTGATATCATCCTCTCGAACATGATCTCGTAGATGCATTTTTGCACTAGCTTCAGCCATTCTAATGATACTTTCTATGTGCCTAACGGTGATTGGGAGACTTCCAGTAGCTAAACTTTCTTGTCTCAACTGACCGTAAAGATTAGCAACTTTATCTCTATCAACTTTGGCTAATTTAGGATGAATATTTTGTCGTGCATAAACAATATATTTTTTCAAAAGATCTTGAGGAATAGAAATATCGTTGGTTGAATTTTGATCTATTAATTCAGCAGGTAATTCTCTTTTCTCATTAGTTGGATGATTCTTGATATGCGAGTTTACAACAAATTTTGCTAAATGTCTATCTTGCATAGGATCTACTTCATCTTTCACAATGCAAAGTATATCAAAACGTGATAAAATTGGTTCAGATAAATCGACGTTTTCTGAAAAAGTCATGCTGGCATCATAGCGACCTCCAATCGGATTTGAAGCAGCAATAACAGAACATCTAGCATGTAAAGATGTAACAATACCAGCTTTGGAAATAGAAATACTTTGCTGTTCCATAGCTTCGTGAATAGAAGTTCTGTCTTGATCATTCATTTTATCAAATTCATCAATCAAACAGATTCCATGATCAGCTAGGACGAGAGCACCAGCTTCAAGAGTCCATTCTCTAGTAGTTGGAGATTTTCTTACATAAGCTGTCAAACCAACAGCTGACGCACCTTGACCAGTGGTAAATACAGCTCTAGGAGCTATTTTTTCAGTATACTTTAAGAATTGAGATTTTGCCGTTCCAGGATCACCACAAAGAAGTACATTGATATCGCCACGAATTTTATGTTTATTCCCAGGATTTTTAGATTCACCCCCGAAGATAGCTAGAGCAAGTGCACGTTTTATAAATTCATGGCCATAAATAGAAGGGGCAATACTTGCAATAATGCGGTCAGCTATACGATGATCTTTACTCAACTTTAAAATACTCTCAATTTCCTCTCCTGTAAGTGATTCTACAATGTCTTTAGAATCTTTTACAACAATATGATTAGCTAAAAGTACAGTAGCAAAAACTGGGAAACCATGTTCGGTATTTAATGATCCGTCATAACTATTTGTATAAATTCCAGTAATGTCAATTTCATCTCCAGGTTTACAGCGATCACATAAATCTGATAATAAAATACAATCTTTGCTACGAGGAATGCGTCCAGCTGGAATTCTACCGGGAGATTCTTGAATTGTGATTTTTTGGTAGTTTCTATAGAGTGTTTGTTCCATATTAATCATAAACGGCCCAGCGCTTTGACATTCAGGACAAGATCCAGGTTTGACTTCTGAGTTTTGTGTTTGAACAAATGGTCCAATTATGTAACCACATTTGGTACAATCATATTTGACTACGGACAGCTGTGGTAAAACACCAGTTGTAGCGGTTACAACTCCTAATGATCGTACAAGTTGATTTAAATGGAGTTTTCTGTAGGTTCTTATTTCTTCTATTAAGGGAAGCTCGCTAATTCTCACATGAATCTCAGAAGTAACACGTTCATAACTTGGATAAATTGTTAAAACTAATTCTTTAGCTACACCATCAAAAATTTCAAGCATTTGATAGGGAGCTTCTGGTAGAAAATAAGCCAAAACATTTTCGACACTGGCAAGAATTGGAAATTCAACCACGAAACTTAACTGATTGCTTTCACACATATGTTTTATCCGTTCTTTGTACAAATAATGACCTGAAGAGTCGGTGTAAGTTCGTAAAAAATTTTTAAAGCGATTAGCAATCTCAGTTCTTGGACTCAACATCATTATCCATTCTTTTATTGAATAGCCTCTAGTGTCTTCTAAATTTTCGATTGATTCGATCATGTCGACGTTATCCATTTCACCCATTGCTGCTTTTTCTGCTCGACGGCGTTTTCGAGTTTGAGTATCATCTTCGTCACTTTCCTCTAAAAATTGAAAAAATATAAAATTTTGATTCAGAATCAGTTAAAACGGATTAAAATGAATACCATAAAGAAGATCTCTATCATCTCTATAAATTCCTGCAGCTCGATCTCTTCTGCGCATTGTAGCTTCAGCAGCAGCACGATCAGATTGTGAAATATCAGAATAGTCCTCATCATCCATTAAATCACGGTCATAACGATCCAAAGCCGGCATTGGGCGATAATCAGCTTCCATATCATCTCCAAATAATTCTTCGCCATCAGCTTCTTCTTCATTAATAATATCATCCTGGGAAGGATCGTCACCCAAAAGGCCTTCGTCTTCAAAAGGCTCATCAATTTCAGGTGCTGGAGATGTAGGAGCATCTGTTTGTCTAACGCTTCGAGGAGGAGAACTTCGTTGACTCTAAAAAGTTTTATTATATTATTGAAATATTCTTTTAATAATAGTCCTTTTGGAGTATTTTTATTAAAACAAACCATTTTGATAGAGACTAAGGATTACAATAGATCAAAACTACGTCTATTTCAATATTCTAATGTTAAATGTATGATATCATAAAATTTTTCAATGAAAAAACACGTGATTATATAAAATAAGTACTTAGTTACTACACATGTACTTAGTACATATGTAAAATAAATATAATGAATAAAAGTAATTATTTGGATAAAAATTTTAGGATTCAATAACACTAAGTAAGTAAAATAACGTTGTAAACAATGAGAACATTCGGCGGGAAACAACTTAAGGAAACCGCAAGTTATGTATACACATATATAGTATGTACATATGTATAGAGTGGCTCTACAACAATAGTACGTTTGATCTTTATATCCTATATATACATATACATACAACATATACCCATATGTTTTCCTATTAATGTATATATATTCCTCATCTTCCTATAGCATTACTATGTACTGTGCCGGATTTCGTTTATAAACGTTCTGTATCATTTATGTGAACAATGTGTAGTTGTTTAATTAACAAATAATAATGATACTGTAAAGATTGTATTTAAAAAAAACTCACAGTTCATGTGATTTTTATTTTAAATGCAATTTTTTTTTCTTTAAATAAAAATTCTACCAAATTTATAAATAATATACATGTTTTACAGTGCATGTGTTATAACCTAAAAAAGTAGTTATAGTGAATGAGTTTTTATTTATTTAGTTAATATTTAAATTAAAACATGACTTCAATAATAAAACTTCATGCTATTTCTGGTGCTATGGATGAAAGTCCTCCCTGTTATCTTTTAGAGATTGATGATGTGAAGATATTATTAGATTGTGGATGGGATGAAAATTTTGATGAAAATTTCATCAGAGAATTAAAGAGGTATGTTTAGTTCTAATTTTATATACATATATATATATGTATAAATACGCCTATATGCCTCTGTTGCCTCCGTATCAACCCTTTGAAATGACGCTCTGGACTCATTTGGCGACGTAGTCACCACCGAAACGAAGGCAATTAGGTTTTTCCATGTTTAACCTCACTTAACCAAATTTTTGTTACTTGATACACTGTACTTGCAGGGTGATTTTTTTTTCTTAAACGATGTGGACAGCACACAATTTAAAGTTTATAATACCTACTTTTTTCCGAAAAAAGTAGATTCATTTTTTTGAAATAATTTTACTCCAAAACGCGGAAGCAATAAAGATATATATATATATATATAATATGTTTATTTTTGTTCATTTTATAATAATTTTTTGTTATAATTTTTTTAGACATGTGCATCATATTGATGCAGTACTTCTCTCTTATCCTGATCCTTTACATTTAGGAGCCTTACCTTACTTGGTGGGAAAGTGTGGTTTAAATTGTCCTATATATGCTACAATTCCAGTTTATAAAATGGGACAAATGTTTATGTATGATATGTATCAGGTAAAATTTCTATATACTAATATGTATGTTTTTCTTTTGAATATATTATATTCAAACAATTGAAAAAATAACATTTCTTTCAGTCACGGCATAATATGGAAGATTTTGACCTTTTTACTTTAGATGATGTTGATGCTGCTTTTGATAAAATAGTCCAATTAAAATATAACCAAAGCGTTTCAATGAAAGGTAAAGGTTATGGAGTTACTTTAACTCCGTTACCAGCAGGTCATATGATTGGAGGAACAATTTGGAAAATAGTCAAAGTTGGAGAAGAGGATATAATTTATGCAGTAGACTTTAATCATAAAAAAGAACGACATTTAAATGGGTGTGAACTCGAAAGGCTACAAAGACCTTCGCTACTTATCACTGATGCTTTTAATGCTTCTTACCAACAAGCAAGAAGACGAACTCGTGATGAAAAATTGATGAGTAAGTAAGAAAAGTTGAAAAAAATAAACAATCTTGATTAAAAAGTAGTACAATTGACTAAGTACATATAACTAATATAATTTTTTACAGCAAATATTCTTCAAACGCTTCGCGGGGGAGGTAATGTTTTAGTCGGAGTTGACACTGCAGGAAGAGTATTAGAATTAGCTCATATGTTAGACCAATTATGGCGAAATAAGGAATCTGGACTTTTAGCATATTCTTTAGCACTCCTTAATAATGTTAGTTATAATGTAGTTGAATTTGCAAAATCTCAAATTGAATGGATGAGCGATAAGTTAATGAGAAGCTTCGAAGGTGCACGAAATAACCCATTCCAATTTAAACATCTCCAGCTCTGCCATAGTATGGCAGAATTAAATAAAGTTCCCAGTCCAAAAGTAGTTTTAGCAAGTACTCCAGATATGGAATGTGGATTTTCGCGTGATCTTTTTCTTCAATGGTGTTCGAATCCACAAAATAGTATTATTATTACTAGCAGAACATCTCCAGGCACTTTGGCTAGAGAATTAGTCGAAAAGGGAGGTAATAGAAGTATTACCTTAGAAATAAAGAGGAGAGTAAAATTAGAAGGTTATGAATTAGAGGAATATCTAAAACGCGAACGTGCAAAACAAGAAATGATGAAACAAGAACAAATGGAAACAGCTGATGTGACTTCAGAATCTGAAGATGAAATTGAAGTTGGTGGTACTCGAGGAAAACATGATTTACTAATAAAACAAGAATCGAAACAAGGTTTTTTTAAACAGAGCAAGAAACAGCATCCAATGTTCCCTTTTGTTGAAGAAAAAATAAAAATCGACGAATATGGTGAAATTATAAGACCTGAAGATTATAAAATAGCTGAAACTATTCCTGAAGCTGAAGATAACAAAGAAAATCTTGATATCAAATCAGATGAAACTATGATTTTACCAGAAATCGCTCCCGACATTCCAACTAAATGCATTCAGATAACTAGAACTATTAATGTCAATGCATCGATAACTTACATTGATTTTGAAGGACGATCGGATGGAGAATCTTTACAGAAAATTTTGGGACAATTAAAACCACGAAGAGTCGTTCTAGTACGAGGATCTGCTAAAGATTGTGAAATTCTTTCCCAACAAGCACAAGCCGTTGGTGCTCGAGTCTTCATTCCAGGTCGTGGAGAAACTCTAGATGCTACGACTGAGACTCACATTTATCAAGTTCGTCTTACTGATGCTCTTGTGAGTGGATTAAACTTCTCTAAAGGTCGTGGAGATTCTGAAGTTGCTTGGATTGATGCTATGATTGCAGCTCGTGAACAAATATGTCGAGATGCTGTTGCTGATACGAATTCGGAAGACGCGGAAGAAAAAATTCTTACATTGGAACCGCTCACAACAAATGAGGTATTTAATTTGAATTATTCTTTAATTGACTTAATTAATGTATTGCATGAAATTGAATACGCCGTTTTTAATTTGATAAATTTTCAAGCAGGTTCCCGGCCATCAAACTATTTTTATTAATGAACTCAAATTATCAGACTTCAAACAAATTCTTAATAAGAGCAACATTCCCTCCGAATTTAGTGGAGGAGTTTTATGGTGTTGTAATAACAGTATTGCGGTAAGAAGAGTAAGTATTATATTATTATTGTTATATTAATTTATATTTAATACGTATAATAATCAATGTTCTTAATTTTTTTTTTAAATCATTTTCAGCACGAAGCCGGCAAAGTTGTTCTAGAAGGATGTTTATCAGAAGATTATTACAAAGTTCGTGAGCTATTATATGAACAATATGCAATCGTTTGAAACTTAGTCAACTTGATAAATGTACATATATTTGTATATTTTAATAATAAAAAGAACAATTAAATTAAAATCACTGTATCGGTTGGTTATTAGTGTAATTAGTGACTTGATTATAATAGAAATGATGAAAATTGTTTTTGAATTATTATTATTTTATGATATACATTAATGTGTAGTAATTGTTAATTTTACGGATAAAAACTTGTAATTCAGACAATTTAAGAACTTTGTTTTATTAAAAATTTTACATTAAATCATTATGAAAGGTGTTTTATAAAATGATAATTTAAAAAAGTATTAATGATTAACATTGTGAAGGTCATTGTCTGACTCGCCTTTCATTTAGCTAGTATTAAACACGTGCTGTCGCGGAATACTACAGAGTGGATCCAGCCAACTACATGTCAAAAATTTAAATGCTTGCGCCGTACGTGTGTGTTCGTCACAATCTTGATCACCACAAAAATCAGGTGGTCGGACGCACGCTCAGCTGTGCACAGCCGGTGTTGTTGGGGAATTCAATTTTTTTCAGATTTATAAACAATGAATTGTAATAAATTTCTGTAATGCCCCTATTAACAATTAAATTTGTAAAAAAATGAATGAAAGTTGATTTTATTCAAATTTTTTTTTAAAACTAGGATTATTTGAAAATAAAATTAGAATGATGATACGACGGGACTACTTTATCGCGGAGTAATACAATATTTTGATTGATAAATAATTTATAAAAATGATTTTTGTAACAGAATATTGATAAAATTGTATATTTTGTTGTATAATTCTCTCGGCAATTTTTTCAATTTGGTGTTTAATTTTTAATTAGATCATTTTAAATAGAAAAAATCTAGTAAAATTTTTATTTCGGAATGGTTGTTATATTTGGGGGTGTGGTGGTTCAAGAAGATCTTCTTCATTGGCTGAAATCAACGATTCACATACACATTGGCCAATTTGACTCTCTGCGAATGCGTGAAAACTTACACCGATAAATGAATTTCATGGTGGTCCAGCGGTGTGATGACTAAATGTGCCCCCTTAAATTGAAAGTTATTTTATTTAATAAAATTTCACTTTTATTTTTTCGAAACAAACAAATTTATTAAAATTTTATATCAGTATTAATTGAATTTTAATGATATTGTTTGTAAATTAAACATATTTGTAAAAAAAAAGTAAACTTATGGGTTCACTAGAGATGATACGAGGTTGGATGTACCGGTCTTGAAGGCTGGAGGGAGGTTTTCGCATGCATATTTGTGTGTTCAGTATGGTAGAAAGAGGGGAGAGCCCCAACAAATTCACTCACCGGCTAGAGTAGAGCAGGAAAGCGTTGATGTGCTGAGAGAGGGTAAGAGTGAGAGAAGAAGAAGAGAATCAGAGTTTAGTCGAGTCGTCGAGTGATATAGAGAAGACTCGTGCGTGAACGAGGAGCGGCACACGGGTATAAGCGACGAGTTGGTTAGTGACTTAAATAAAACGTTTATCAAGAAAAAAATCACCAAGTGTTGCAGTTTGTAAAGATGGCTGGTGAAAAACGTAATCAGGATCATGAGGACATTCAACGTGAGGAAACAATTGTGCTAGTTGACATCGAAGGAACGACTACTAGTATAAGCTTCGTGAAGGTAACAAAGAGCATGGCCGTGTGCTCGGGCTGAATTGCTTCTCCGGCATTTCATATTTTTGTAATCATTATCTTTGCCAATCTCTGATAATATATACTTCTAATAATTTTTTTCGAGTTATTCACTAAAAATATTGTTTCTGCATGTAGATTTTTTATATTATTTGCAACATTTATTATTGCTGATCCGCCTTTCATCCTTCCCCTCTTGATCCATGTCCTTCTTCCTCGAACAGGGAGGTACGCCGGCACAAAACCAGTTCGGCTTTGCTCGATCCTCGCGGCGAAACTTGTCGGAACTCGATTTCCCAGGCTCTTTTACTTCCCTTTTATATAGCCAATGATATTATCTTATTTATTTTCATTTTTAAGTATACTACTTCGATTTTTCCAAATTCTTTAGCCTATTACTATACTTTCGTTTACTGCTTAACACTATTCTTAGTTTATATCCACAAAATTTTCTGTCTCGAGGGGATGAATTTTGTTTACTGACAAATACTTGATGAGCTTGTCTATCGATTCATTTTAAGAGCTTAGCGAATTCAAAAAAACATTATGAATAAATATCAAATAAAATTTTATTTACTTTTTAGATTTTCTGCATTGCTTTTGATTTTATATTTTCAAGTCCTATTAATTATTCAGTTTGCTGGATAATTGATCTTAACTACTGTTATTTTTTATATATATGTATATATTTTTTTAGGATACTCTATTTCCATATGTTCGTGAGAATCTAAAAGAATACATAACAAAAAAGTGGGATGATGTAGAATTCAAGGACGATGTTGAAAAATTAAAAGAGCAGGTATATATTGTTTTTAAATATTATTTTTTATTAAAAACTATCCTTTACTTCTTCAAACTGAATTTGTATATTTAGTTAAATTAAGACTTAACTTTGATTGATAAATTTATCGAGAAAAACTGATAAAATCAAAAAATTAAATAAAGCTAATCAGCGAATAAAATTTTTTAAATTGTATCCATTTTTTTTATTTTACAAAATTTCGAAATTTTCATTTTCTATTATATAATAACAAAAAATGATCACCTGGCGTATAACACCTGGTTAAGTATTAGCAAAAATAGTTTCAAACTCAAAAATATTCCACAATATAACAACAACTTTTGGAATTGATTTAGGGAATTCAGTTGATTAGATTTAATTTTCTGACCTCAGCTTTATCAATCTTCATTGTTGGCAAACTCTTCTAGTTGAACCTATATCTCTTTTACACGAATAATAATAGAAGAATATAACCACTTTATGAGCAGAATAATATTGATTTATCATTATTTTATAATGGTTGAATTTATAAATAATAACAACAATTATAAGTTGTTTCAGTATTACTTTTTTTGTCTACATTTTTTAAATAAAAACAATGGTTCAAGTAACAATAAAAAACGTTACGTGAATTTGATCAATCCTATGTTAAGAAAAATGCTATTCTAGTGATATGAAGATTAACTGTAAATGATAAAATTTTTGAAATGATATCTATCGACTATTTTTCTAATTTCTTGTATGTATATTTTAGGCAACACAAGATCAAAGTGACAAGGTTGAAGGATTGGTACCTATTACTGGAGAGACTTCAAAAGAATTACAGGAATCATTAATGAATAATATATTGTGGCAAATGGATAATGATCGTAAAACAGGCGCTTTAAAGCAACTCCAAGGGCATATGTGGCGTGATGCATACAATTCTGGTGCTGTAAAGGGCCAGTAAGTTATGAATATATAATCTAATAAATAGTTGAAAATAAAATTTTTTATTTGATGAATTAAATATATATATATATGGCTTAAATAAATAAAAAAAATAGTGACAGAGGTATTGTTAAGTACTGATCAATCGTTTTCTAACAATCAACTAAAATTATAATTTTTTTATAGTGTTTACGATGATGTACCTCAAGCGCTTGAAGAATGGATAAAAAATGGCCGCAAGGTGTACGTTTATTCAAGTGGCAGCGTTGAAGCACAAAAGTTGCTCTTTAGTCATTCCGTGCATGGTGATTTGCTCAAGTATTTTAGTGGTTATTTTGACACTGATGTGGGCGCAAAGCACGAGGCTGCAAGTTACAAAAAAATTCTATCTAAGATAGAAAGTGAAGGTTCAAAAGTATTATTTCTTACTGACATTGCGAAAGAAGCAAAGGCAGCTACTGAAGTAGGAATGACAGCAACAATAGTTATCCGTGAAGGCAATGCTCCTTTAACCCCTGAAGAGGATGTTTATCCAACAATTAAATCCTTTTTAGAACTGTCTTTTGGTAGCTCAGCCAAACGACAGAAAGTAGATGAGACTGAAACTAATAAAGAAGAGCTAAAGAAGGCTGAAGAACTTCCAAAAACAACTGTCGAATCAACTAATACGGACATGGATGTTGAAATGAAAGATGCTCGTGAACAAAAAGTTGAGAAAGAAGTAGATGTTAAAAAAATACCAGAAGAAGAAAAACCTGTTAAAGATATTTCAACAGTTGAATCTTCAATAGAACCAATGGAGTGTGAAACAAAAATTGACTCCGAAAACTCAAAAGATGTCGAAGAAGAATCTGAAGATAAAATTACGAAACAAGATGATGAATCCGTATCTCAAGCGTCAACGAGTGATATTGATAAACCAGAAAATGAAACCAAGTCTGATATTGTAGCCATAGTTGATGATAAAATTGATCAATCAAAATCCGAACCAATTAAAAAAGTCACAGAGAACAAGACTGAAATGGATAAAACTGTTGAAGCACCAAGTGCTGATAAAATGGAGACTGAAGTCAATAAAGTTGAAGTAGTGGACGAAAAAACCACTGAACCAACCAAACCTCCTGAAGAAGCACCTAAAGTTGAAAATAAAGTTGAAGAAAATAAAGAACAAATTGTCAGTAAAGCTGAAGAAAAGGAAGTGAGTGAGAAACCTGTTGTAGAAGAAGTAAAACAAAATGGTGATTCAAAGGTTGAAATAACCGAATCGACAACAGCGAACGGTTCTACAGAAGTAAACGGTGATATAAAGGAAGAACCAAACGTTCCTCCAGATACAAAAGATATTGAAAAAACTGTTGAAGTCCCTAAATCTGAAGTTGCAACTGATTCTGAGTCAGCAAAGTCAGAAGCTACAAAAGAAGAAGAAGAGAAAGTGAAAGAAGATATTGTAGAAAAGAAGTTAAATGGCAGCACACCAATTACTGAAAAAGATGAAACGACGTCACATAGAAATGGTGTAAATGATGAAAATAATAAACAAAATGGAGATGATGATAGTACAACTGATAAAGAATCTATCAAGGTAAAAAAAGTCGTAGACAGCATTGCGGAAGGTTCTGGTGAACCTGACGTCGTTTCACCAGTAGCGGTAGTAGCTGCGACGTCCTAATAATCTTGCATTCTTGAGTTACATTAATGGTAAAAAAAAAGGAAAGAAAAAAAAAGAAAATAATCATACATAACCCCGTGTCCCTGAACTTAATACTTAATGTTACAAAATATAAATTAAACATTTTCCGTATCCCACCTCGACATTTGCACTTGACAAAATTGCGTAACGTGTTCGAGTGCCAGATGAATAGAATAGAAATGTATCATTTATTTTTTCATTAGATTTTTTTAACAGTGAAAATCTTAATTTTTTGAAAATTCATTTATCTTCCAAGTAAAAAAGGACAATATATATATATATATATATATATATATATATGTTTGTGGATTTCATTAACCAGTTTTCTTACAGTAGTCCTGCATAAAAACATCGAGTTTATTGCTTTTTGTTAATAATTAGCCAGTCTTTCATTTTCCTATTTATCTAAAAATTTTATAGCAATGAACATCTCTTTTATTTATAACTGTGCCAAATAATTTTTCCATCTATTCATCATTTCATCTTTTTTTTGTCATTCGTTTACTCTGGTTTTACCTTTAATTTTTAATATACTTTTTAATTGCATTATTATTTTTATTGCTTTAATGACGATCATATAATATTCAAGACTGATAATCCGCAAGCGCATATAAACCATGAGTTGCTGGCCTATCAAAGTTCCGTTTGCGATACCATTTTTCATGTGCGTATGGGTACTTTTATACTAAATGTACTTAATTATTTTTTTCTCAGTAAAAATATTTTTTTATGCTACCTGTTTTGCTTAGTGATGATTTTAAATTGCTTTTACATTGCATTCATTGCATTTCGTAGACAAAATTGACTGTGATCATATGATATACATAACAAGAGATTTGAATTTGTGCTGCATAAGCTTTATCATTAATCTCCTTCCATTATTTAACGCCATATTTTAATAAATTTTTTTTTGTATTTAAAGTAAGTTGTTAGATTTATGGGATCTGCTACTTAAAGTGTTTTGTACGCGTTTTTGTGACTTAGTTTTTATGTATCTTTCTATTATGTAATCAATTATTGATTAATTAGTTATTAACATGATCTTATATTTGTAATCATTATTTCATTGAGATCATTTCATTATATTTTAAGTAAATTTAGTAATAATTCATAAGCAAAATGAGTAGCTTACCGGGCAGAGGTTTTTCATTTTATACTTTTATTATAAACGGATTACTTATTTATAATCACTAAACGTGTAAACTTGTTTTCTTAATAGTATTTTTATATTGTTAGTTTTCGAAAAATCATAACATCGTATTTCTCTGGTCTTTACGTCATGAAATTGCTCAAAAATTGTTAGATTTATCATGCATTTTCATTTATTATAACATGTCACACATTCCTTGAAACGAACTGAAAGTAAACAAAAAATATTGAACAATTTTCATTATTTCTCGATTGACTTTTCATCCCCATCCGAATCATCACATCACCCTCATACAAGGTTTGCGTCGATGGTCGAGAATAATAATAACGAAATTGTTAAATAATTTTTATTCATTTTCAGACCAAAACAAAATATAACATGACAAACAAAAATTGAATGCTCAACCAGTGATTTACTCCCTTTCTCGATGTATACCATTATTTACTAATACATGTGTATATATATATAATATATGTATATATATATATATATACATATAATATATATATATATATATATATATATATATATATAATATTCGAATTAGTATGATAAGTTTTTAAAAATAATTGATTAATAAAAACATTAAATAAGTTATTTAAACTCATTACTTTGTCTCATGTTTATTGCACGACCAATTTGATATTATAAGTAATTGACAAGTAGCAATTTATTGAAATTTAATATCAAAATGAATATAAAAATAGAATATGTAAAAAATCAAAGATTAAATTTATAGGGGTTTAAAAATTTTAACAATTCATTTATAAGTCAAGTTGAAGAAAATAATTTTTATAATAATATTTTTGTTGTCTCGATTTTTCTGTTCGTAGTGTTGTGCAAGGTGACAAATTTTTACAAAATTATTATTAAACTTAAGTCACGTTGTCAACAAAACAAAAGTTATATTATTAAAAGAATGATTTAATAAGTTTTATCAAACAAATTCCAAAAACATCACTGCCTCGTCATACTGAAAAAATCCATCCTATATAAAATGTCGTGCAATTAATTGATAAATTAATTCTTTGTCAGTTACTCGAATGCAGTTTTACTGAAGAGATAATATTGGATTATATATATTGTGCCAAATAGGTGAAATAATTCAAAACGAATGTTTTGTTCATTTTTTTAAAATAATTAGTTATTTAAATCTTTGGTCGTTGTTTTTTTAAAGTCATTCAATATATAATTTAAATTAAACAAAAAATTCTTCGGCCTCACTATTGCGATAACTCAATAAAGAATGATTTGATCTTGTAGATTAGCATGAATTCAAAGAAAAAAGTAATAGCATTAGATTAAGGGTATCCTTGTGGATTAAACAAAATAATTTAGCTGATCAAGTACGATTAAATGATGGTAGATTAATGTAACAATATTCAGTGGTTTTACTTGAACGATGTAACAAATAAGTTTAAATATAAAATGAAAGAATCATTTTCTTCTTCAATGAAGTGAAAAAAAAAATAATAAAAAAAGTGGAAAACGAAAAAAAATTCAAGCGAAAGAAGGACAAATTTATTCATTTCATCAAACAAAATAGCATATGTCTCTGTTATACTTGAATTACTTTGGCTGGTTGTATTTATTAAACATTTTAGAATGATTTTTTTAATAATATTTTTTGTCAATAATTACCACTCGGAATTTTTTGTACAATTTTTCATACACTGGATATTTTCATATATATAAAAACGTATTTACGAAAAATAGATACTACCAGCTAAAACAATAATAAGTATACTGGAGATGTATCTAACGATTATATATTCAATAAATATTTGTTCATAATAAATAATAATAATGTTTAAAAATTATTTATACTTACTCCTAATATAATATACTGTCTTCTTTAAAATTTTTACCAGAATAAATTCATATTTTTTTCTTCTATTATTAAAGTGACAATAATAATAAATGTCAAAAAGATATCTCATCTAACTAATCGTTGAATTTATATACTTTGTGGCTAATGATTTGTATCAAGTGCATATTATTAGAGTTAGATGACTTTTTGAAAATATCACTTCTAGTTGATGAACAAAATTTATCGTCATTTTGTACTTGGCGTTTTTTTTTACAACTTTTTAAAACGGTTAGAATTATTATTATTATTTTAAAAAGGGTACAACATTTTATCTACAAAAATATCTTTTTACACACCAATACTTAACCATATCTCATACCGTACTATGTAAAATCTACAATAATCAACTTATGATGAGCTACAAACATGAATTGACAACCTGCAAAGCATGCCTTGATTAAATATACCGATACAATCTCATTAAAAAAATTTTTAAGAACGGATCGAAAAATTGCATCAAAAATATCGCTGTTTCTCAGTTGTGGACACAGAGTAAGAAATTAGCCCCACCCACAAAAAATATGTCCCACCCTACAGATAAATATAACGCAAATTTGCATCCGAAAAATAAGACGTTTCTTCAAAATTGTAGAAATTGGCAAGTAATCTTCGAACCAATAAGCATCACTTATTTTACCTACTCCTCCCTATTTTTAAATTTTTGTTCTTAGTAGGCGGAGATGACATTTAAGACAATGATCACAACCTGGATGGACCCTGTCCGCAACTGAGACGACGATGGTCAAGACCCCGTCCGCAACTGAGACGGTTTATTGCTTTTCATCCGCAACTGAGAAACAGCGAAAATATCACGCTTTCTCTAAGTATCTACAATACAAATCATATTTCTGATGCAATTTTCTGATTTATTCTTATAACAAGATAAGAATCTTCAAGAAACATTTTTTATCAGAATTCATAAGAAAGTATTGAGAATATTCTGATCATTCTATATAAAAATCCATAAGCACGTGTTGTATCGTTTTTTATTGCAATTTATTTTATTACCGCAAAACAAATCGATTTGAACAAAAGTAAATTTAATTTGCTCTATAGAGGTTTTTTAATTATACGGATTTATTGTTTCAATATATACCTCAGATGAAAATTATCTGTAACTTTGTTCGACAATATTCTGCTGATGGTGGGATTTGATCCTGGTCCTTTTTTTTTTTGAAATTTATCTTTTAGAATAAATTGCTTAATAATTTATTCATTTGAAAAGTCACATTTTGTTTTATATATAATATTTTTACTCAATTTTCATGTTTACATTACATATCAATAATTTTTAAAAGAATTAAATGATTCACAGTCATTATTTAAAATAGAAATCGAATAACTATTCATATATATATATATGATTATTCAATTGTTTTAATTAATTTGAATTCATTCACTTATTTATTATGATTTATCTTATCAGACTCTGTAAACTACCTGTATTTTATTTATATCTTTAAATTAAACATCATCTCTTGCATTTTTCACTTTGATTATTTGAAAGTCTCTCAACATCTTTATATTAAGTGGCTATCATTATTGAGAACCAATTGTTCTCAGACTACGTAATAATTCTTCAGTTTCAATCACTCTTGAAATTTATCTGGTAAACAATATAAAAATGTATATATACATATATATGTTCGTAGAAAGTAATATAAACTTAGCTTAAGACGCAGTCCCATCATAAACAACAACACATGCACATCATCCAGCCTCAGATTGTAAATTAGTCCAGTCAAATGAGGGAAATGGGATAATTTTGGTTTGCTGCGGCCAAATGAGAGTTAAACCAATGTCGTTTACCCGTAAGATGTTCTTGGAGACTGGTATGCTCTTGAAGACTGGTATACTTTTCCTTTCAGTGCGTGTTGCTGAACTTAAACATCGTTGAAGCTATTCCGCCGCAGGAATACCGACCGACAGATACCAACCACCAGCTACAAGTTTTCGTAGTTGTGGCGTGTGGTACATCAATGGTTATAAGACTATTTTTGGTCTTCTTATAAACTTGATAAGTTTTTATTCATTCTTATAAATTGTGTACTAGAATCTATCGGAAATTATGAATTTTTATTAGTTTGTTTTACCAGGGTAAAGGTCTCTGAATACATATTCATAAAGTCAGGAGAAGGTTCTCTTGCTGTGTATCACAAAGATCTCAAAAGTATGAGTTTTTTTTGATAATGCACTTTTTCTGAGACACAGAAAAAAAGCAAACAACTTGCTCAAACTGTTCTAGAGAATAAATCCACATATTTTCCGCGTTATAGGATAGGAAAACACTCCCGTAATAGTAGAAATAAATGAAATTTGTAGTAAAACTGTTGCCATTTAGTTTACAAATGAGAATTTAGATTTAGAGGATTTTAATGTTTGTGTTATACCAAATACATTCAAAATACAATAATTTTTATACTAATGTAAAACTTAAATCTTGCTAATAATTGCAAATGAATAATGTAATGGAAAATTCAAAAAATGTGTTGAAATCATATAATGTGTACTTTTCGATTGAAAAAATACTCTGCATCGTTGGTAATTTCTGGTTAAATCCTATTGATAAAAAATTATTTAAATTAATTGTATTTTTTCTAATTCATTCCTATAAAATACATCCATTTTCAATCGGAAATTTTTAATACATTCTCATTGAATTTCCAAAATGGTATTAAATTATTTAACCGTTACATCCTATTGAAGGCATTTTGT